CTGCTTCCGAGGGTTTTTCATTTCCTTTATTTTTTGGAGATTTGATGGTGTTTTTCATTAGCCTGGAATACCTTTTCCTGATGAACTCTGGCGAAATTTTTTTTACCGAATAAGTTCTAGTGGTTTAGCTTTACAGTAAATTCCATGTGAACTCTGATTTGGTACATTTTTTTCTAATAGAATTGATCAAAATTGTGTACTTGGTAGATTTATGCTGTTTGTGGAATTTCGAGTCTGTATGAACCCGATTAAATCGGGTGAGAATTTATATACGAGGATTTCGAAACTGATTGTCTTATATGGTTTTCTCTATGCTGGAATTTCTGTTTAATGGGTTAGTCAGGAGTTTCAGGAAGTTTAATGGGTTAGTCATTGGGTGATCGAATTCTTCTTTGTATAACAATTTGATTTGCTGCTTAATTCTTGGGAAATTCTGACAGACAATCAACAGCGTAATTAAATATCAATTGCAATGAAAGAATTAGAGAAAACGAATGAGCCTTTACATATAGCGCTGTTAGACGAAACTTTTGAGATGCATGGAACGTGTCTGCTCACCTACTTGTTTTCTCTTTTACCAGGTTCTGAGTTGCACAGAGACGATTAATAATGCAGTAATGGAGTCTTCTGCAGTCAAGTTTGTCCCGAACATTCATTCAGGAAGCCACAGTGACATTGGATCAAGGGATTCCATGGATGACGAACACATTCGGATCGATGATCTATCTGCCCATGTGGGGCCTCGCTTCAAGTGTCCCTTTCCAAGTGCATTTTATGCGGTTTTCGATGGTCACGGAGGGCCTGAGGCAGCTGCTTATATCAAGAGGAATGCCATGAGCCTATTCTTTGAAGATGCTGATTTACCGCAGAGAATGGATATGGATGCTGTTTTCTTCAGAGAGTTGGAGAATTCCCACAGGAAAGCATTTCTACTGGCTGACCATGCCTTGGCTGATGAACAAAGTGTGAGAAGTTCGTGTGGAACAACAGCATTGACTGCTCTTATACTTGGAAGGCATTTAATGGTTGCAAATGCTGGTGATTGTCGAGCGGTTCTTTGCAGGAAAGGAATAGCAGTTGACATGTCTCAAGATCATAGACCTAGTTACTTGCCGGAACGTGTGCGAGTTGAGCAGTTGGGTGGTTACATTGATGATGGATATCTTAACGGTTCTATCTCAGTCACCCGAGCTCTTGGAGATTGGGGCTTAAAATTACCATTGGGTTCCTCATCGCCTCTCATTGCCGAGCCAGATGTTCAGCAGGTTATGTTAACAGAAGATGATGAGTTTTTTATCATTGGTTGTGATGGCATCTGGGATGTCATGTCAAGCCAATATGCTGTGAGTCTGGTTCGGCGTGGGCTGAGGCGGCACAATGACCCCCAACAGTGTGCCAAAGAACTCGTCAAGGAAGCACTGCGCCTGAACACATCAGACAACCTCACAGTTATTGTTGTGCGCCTCTCTACTCCAGAACGTGTTGAGTTCCCTCGCCAGCGCCCGAGGTTGAGAACCTGCAGCCTCTCGGAGGAAGCACGCAGCCGGCTGAGAAGCTTGTTAGAAGGCAATTGAATGTAAATAGTAGTCAATTCCTATTTACTGAGTCCTAATGGGAGATGCAATTTTTATCTCTTTGTGGCTGTTTCAGATTTTAGGTTTAGAAACAAGGCAGCCGCCAGTTTTGCTAGAACAGGACTTGATTGGGTTGTTGAGGTTGTGGATTGTAGCGGTAAAACGGAATTTACATTTGACCTTCGTCTTGTTTTTAGATGAATTGGGTTAATTTACATTAATCTTAATTTTCTGATTATTTTAAATAATTGAATTTGTGTTGAGTGAACTTTCTCTTCATCGCTTTTAGTATCTCTCTCTCATTACGGGACACAAATACTAATAGACGAGTGATGTCCTCGATTACATGTTAGAATCTCTCTGCTTCCAATGAATTTGGCGTTGGTATTGTTTTAATTGGCAGAAGACAAATAACCTCATCATCTTTTGGGGGCAATTGTTCCTCCACCAAACATCCAAATTGGTGATATGCTGAGAGTCTGTGAGGCTCTACCATTTTCTCCATTTTGCATTTTTTGCTACAATTTTTTATTTAATAAAAAAAATGTCAGCACAAATGAAAATAAATTAGTATATTATATTGATTTAGTTGCCACCGCATGATTGTTCTTCCAATTTATTTAATAAAACATGGGAAAAAAAATATTAGTAGTCATAAAGGATAAGCGTAGAACAGCCGTATTAATCACAATTACAACCATCACGATCAGACGGATACAATCCCATCTCATTTCTAAATCACAACTATATTACAACGTGTCCATTAATTTATGGAAGACCAGGGATTATATATCCTGGACCTTAGCACACTGTATCTGAAAAACAGAATATATTTAATTAATAAAAACAGAAAATAATTGTGAAAAAGGCCAAAAACACATAGTAGCCAATAGGCCATAAGATTAGGGGCTCATTAGGCCCTTTACCAAACGCAGCAGAAACGAAAAGCGAGAGGTTTAACAACGAATCGGAATTTCGAGAGAGTAATGGCGATGGCGAGCTTGGCGCGGCGGAAGGCCTACCTTCTCTCCAGAAACTTGTCCAACACGTCATCGGAGGCCGTCAGGTACTCCTCCCTCACGTCCTTCTCCAGGGGCTTCGCCTCCTCGGGATCTGACGAGAACGACGTCGTCGTCGTCGGCGGCGGTCCAGGCGGATACGTGGCGGCAATCAAGGCCGCGCAGCTCGGCCTTAAGACCACCTGCATCGAGAAGCGTGGTGCTCTCGGCGGTACCTGCCTCAACGTCGGATGCATACCCTCCAAGGTGCTTACTCCTACAGTCCTGTACTTGCCTGCTGGGGGTTTTTTTTTCTGGGTTTTTCTTATCAATTTTGTTTGATTTGTTTGGTTCTTAGTTATATTTGATTGATTTTACTGCTGCTCAGATCTAATTGTTTGAATCAATGGTGTTATATTTGATTGAATCAATGGTGTTATTGTATGGAATCTCTGTTGATCGATTGTATTTATGCTTGATAATATTCATTTCGATTCAAATTAGTTAATATTAAATTTTGATTGAATCGAAAAAATTTCAGCCAAATTATGGAAATTTATTGCGTTTTGTGCCCTAATGGGATACCTCAGAAGTATATAAAAAGAAATTTACTATATAATCCATTAGCATTTGCAATTGAAAATTCTCTAATGTTTTATGAATTACATATGCTCTTTTCGGGTTGTTTTTCGTGTAATTAGAAGTGTTTCTTATTCATCAAGTGATATTGGTATTGGCTGCATGTGGAATTTATCTCTAATGTCGTTCGCTTTTGTGTCCAGGCGCTTCTTCATTCCTCTCACATGTTCCATGAAGCTAAGCATGCATTTTCGCATCACGGAGTGAAGTTCTCCAATGTCGAGATAGATTTACCTGCCATGATGTCCCAGAAAGACAAAGCTGTTTCCAATCTTACCCGAGGAATTGAGGGGTTGTTCAAGAAGAACAAGGTCACATATGTTAAAGGTTATGGAAAGTTCATCTCCCCGTCCGAAATTTCAGTGGACGCCATTGATGGTGAGAATACAGTTGTGAAGGGAAAGAATATCATAATTGCCACCGGTTCTGATGTGAAGTCTTTACCCGGAATTACCATTGATGAGAAGAAGATAGTATCATCCACAGGAGCTCTGGCTTTGCAGGAAATCCCAAAGAAACTTGTGGTGGTTGGAGCAGGATATATCGGCCTAGAGATGGGCTCGGTTTGGGGCAGACTTGGTTCTGAGGTAACTGTTGTTGAGTTTGGACCTGATATTGTCCCATCAATGGACTCGGAAATCCGCAAGCAGTTTCAGCGTTCCCTTGAGAAGCAAGGGATGAAGTTCATGCTCAAAACAAAGGTGGTCGGAGTTGATACCTCTGGAGATGGTGTGAAGTTGACCCTTGAACCAGCATCCGGTGGTGACCAGACTTCTTTTGAAGCTGATGTCGTTCTTGTCTCTGCTGGTAGGGTTCCATTCACATCCGGGCTTGATTTGGACAAGATAGGAGTTGAAATGGACAAGGGAGGGAGAATTTTAGTGAATGAGAGGTTTTCTACAAATGTCTCGGGTGTTTATGCAATCGGAGATGTTATTCCTGGACCTATGTTGGCCCACAAGGCAGAAGAGGATGGGGTTGCATGTGTGGAGTTCCTAGCCGGTAAGGTTGGCCATGTGGATTATGACAAGGTCCCTGGGGTTGTCTACACGCACCCCGAGGTTGCATCTGTTGGAAAGACCGAGGAACAAGTGAAGGCCTCTGGCGTTGCATACCGAGTTGGAAAGTTCCCTTTCATGGCAAACAGCAGAGCCAAGGCAATAGACAATGCTGAAGGACTCGTCAAGATATTGGCCGAAAAGGAAACAGATAAGATATTGGGAGTTCATATCATGGCATCCAATGCTGGAGAGCTCATTCACGAGGCGGCCATAGCCTTGCAGTATGATGCATCGAGCGAGGACATTGCACGCGTTTGCCATGCACATCCGACCATGAGTGAGGCGTTGAAGGAAGCTGCCATGGCCACGTATGACAAGCCCATTCACATCTAGAAAAGTCATTACTTGATTAATCTTCGTTTTCAATTTTTGTTTTTAAGAATCTTGGAACGACTTGGTAAGAAGTTTCCATTTAGTTGTTTTAGCCTTCATTGAAGGTGGCAGATAAAAGCGCTTGAAAACAAGGTTGGTGTTTTGTTCACTCTTTGGCGATGTTAAGGGATTAACTCTCTATGCTTTCTCATCTCACTGTGAATAACAACATACGGATTGTTACCCATTTTGTGCGGTTTAACTGCCTAGTATTTACGTCTTCTTGTATGCTATGGGTTAAGTAGGGCATCGGATCTCTTGCTTTACGTCTTCTTGTATGCTATGGGTTAAGTAGGGCGTCGGATCTTTGCTTTTATCGTGTCTTGATACTCGACAACCGATAACGATACAGCAGGGATAGGTCAGGTTTCGATTCAAACTACGCGGATGGAGATTAAAACTTAGGTTCATAGAGGGAACTCCGCTATCTTAGCCAACTTGGTTACGCCTGTGTTTGCAATCGGCAGCTGATTTGTATGTGTTTTGTCCTGATTTGTGGCCTAATGCAGTACTCAGTGAAACTAGCAACATGATGAATAGTCCAGTTAGAACTTATGAGATGAACCGTTAGTTGACATATGTTATTTCGACAAATGAAGGGAAAGAATTGAACTCACTCATTATTCCCATCACCTGACGCTGCAAGTTCCTCATCTAAGAATCGAGACCTACAATCTCACCCGAAAAATCGGATTAAGATCAAAACATTTCGCTAGTTTACAATTAACGGCCATTCTCTCCTCTCCTTGAAAATCCAGGAAATGTTGAAAAAACCTCAAGCAAATGCACAATACCCCGTAAAAATTGCAGCAGCTGCCCATCCTCCCGCGAAAATTCCCAGTTGGGAAATTTGAAAATGTCAATCGGACGCAACCCTAAATCTTTTGCAGTTATGGATCCTCCCGCATATCTGGCTTCCTTTTGGCCTGCACGGCCAGCCGTGCATCCCTCTCCCGTTCAAACTCTCGGAAATCTGCTCGCTGCAAGAAGTTTACCTTGTCTAAATATTGGTTTGAACTCTTCTTGTAAGATTCCAACTCTCCCTCCAACCCTTTCTCTTCTTTAAACACCCCCCCCCAGTCCTTTTTCGTTTTGTCAAGCACACTGAGCTTTGGCTTCTTCTTAATCTGTTCGAGGAAAGCATCGACACCTGAAGGTGCAGGAGCTTTCACCCTTTCGGATGTTTCCTTTGAATCAGCATCGACACGCTTCTTATATTCAATTTCTTGACCAGCAAAATCCCGAACCTCCGTGATCTATAAAATGAAAAACACCTAGCTGTCAAATATGAAACATAAGTTTACCAATAAATTCTCAAAAATGAATTGTGGCACAAAATCAGGATTTTTTAAACTTCAAACTTGTCTGTAGCATTAGATACAGACGATGATTGATCGCGCCAATCTAATAATTACAAGTTTTGGTCAAAGAACCAGCTCCAAGAGATTCAAGTTAAACAGGAAAACTCCTGCCAATCACAGAGACTAGTTAGGTGGTAAAAGTGGTGTGTAACAACATACATATATTGACATGTGTGGTAATGGATTGGAAAGGAAATTAAGAACCGTGTATACGTCTTTTGAAAAATGATTCTCAAGAAAATTAAACTAGTGAAAGCAGAAGGTCCATCTACTACGTTTCACATACGAAAACCAAATTTTAGCGAGACAGGTGTCCCGACAGAACAGCAACAAACAGGTGATAAAACAATGTGCATACCTCAACTTTCCCTCTGCCAGATGTTGCAACTGCAGCATCCTTAACTTCTACAAAAGCAGCAGCAACAAGCCTCCTGGCCTCGTCATTAGATTTATCCTGCACACCATTGTCACCGGAGCTGTTCGGCGAGACACTTGATCTCTTCCGTAATGCATCTTCTTTTGGGGACTCTGCCTTCTTTTGTGCTAGGCCCAGATATCCCAACCAATTCTGAGAAAAAATCGACGTAAAAGATCAAATTCTAGCCAACTACAATTTTATGATTCCAACACAGAGAGGAAGAATGAGGAAATTCTCACATTAGATGACTTCTTTGGAGTTTTATTCACAGATGAAGAAGACTTGTTTAATAAATCCTTGAATTGCTTATTAGATACTCCTTTATTCATTTGCTCCCACACGGCATCCGCTCGAGCTTTTACATCTATCAAGATAGGAAATAATATTAGCTCTTCTAGACCTATGGTCAATGACTTTACGTGACCAAACAGCAGAACAGGAATTGGATAAACCAGCGTTTGTGAGTACGAAGAATTACTGATCTGTTTGTTCCTGTTTTGTCTCTAAGCCTGGAAAAGGAGCAGCTCCATTGGTAGACTCGACCGGTAAAGTATCCTTTTCACCAGCAGTACCTGAACAGAAAACCCAACTGCTTAATCATAAGTAAGAAAAAGCGAAAAACAAACTGCAGCTAAACTGCCATTGAGAGAAACTCGAAAAAGAAAATAAATTCGAGAAATATAAAAAGAAAAATAATGGGTAACCTGAACTGGAGGCGCCGAGAGCGGCGGCGGCGGCGGCGGACCTGGTGGTAGCCATCCAAGAGAAAACCAAAAAGTGCAGAGAGAGTCGTTGGTGGTGGTAGCAAAAGAGTTTTTATTGGGTTTCGCTCGTGGTTTTTTCAAGGGTTTAAAGCACTTCCAGCCATATTCCAGAATGCTATAACCAATGATCCCCCCAATTTAAATTTAAATGTAAATGTAATTAATCAAAAATTTGTCCCGTGAGCGATTGCGTTACCATGTTTTTAAGGTATTTTTGTCAAACTAAACCCTCAACGTAACGAGGGTAGTGACAAAATTTTCCACGGAAGAAACAAAATTAAATAGTTTTATTAGCAAAATATGTCAATATCCTCGTCACATGACAATTTAACGAGGATATTGACAAAATTTTCACGGAAGAACAAAAATGATTTACATGAACAAACTCAGAGACCACTTCTATTCATTTCCATTGTTAGGGACCAAAGTGATGCATTTTGTTTAATCTCAGAGACTATTTTGGCTAAAAGTGGTTGGTTTGACAAAAATATCATTAAAAAGATGGTTACGTGATAGCTCACGTGATAATTTAACAATAGCGTTGCCATATTTTTTACGGAATGACCAAAATGATTTACGGTGGATAAACCCAGAAACCACTCCCATCAATTTTTAATATCAGGGATCAAATTAAGGAGTTATGTCAATCTCAAAGACCATTTTTGGTTAAAAATCCTGTATAGTATAATGAACCTAATTATTTAAGTAATGTTAGGCACATCAGATTTGTTCACCGAATTTTTTTCAGTAATAATGTGGAAGTGTGTGATTGATTTAATTAGGTTAATTCTAAATTTTATTTTACTAAACAAGATATTGATACATGCATTGACACATTATTTGGTAATCAAATTTAGTAGCAAATATATCATTAAGGAACGGTACACAAAAAGAAAAACTAAAAGCTATTTCAAGTTATTTTCGCTTTCAAGATCTTGATTTCCCTTTCTATATGTCAAGCAAAAAAAAAAAAAACATAATCACGGTAAATAAGAGGTTTTAGATTTGAATCTCACGTATTAATTTATATATAATAAAAAATAAAAAATAAAAAATTTTAAAACTAAATAATTATCAAACAGACGGTACAAATAGCTTCGGGGAATGAGTAATGTCACTGGAACCTCATTGCATGCAGTGACACCATGACAATCACTTTACACTTTATTAGTAACGTAAAGGGAAAGCCCAAATTCAAGAAATATTCTGATTAATCTTTCTATTTAGAAAGGAACTTCATCAACATAGCCTGTATTTCGGTAGGGTTTTTTAGGGTCATGACTTGCTGATCTGGTCCTGCGAGGGTGCGTTTGGTACGTGGGACGGGACGGAACAGAGTGGGACGGATCTGTTTCGTCCCATGTTTGGTGCGCTTAAATTGTGTAGAACGCCTGTCCCACGGAACGAAAATGGGTTAAATTTTGGTTCCACATACCCCCCCTGGAACGGGTTGTTCCATCCCGTGGAACACAAATTTATAATTTTTTGGACAACAATACCTCTCATCTTTTTCATTAATTCCACTGTCTACCCTTCCTCTCTCTCCCGTAGCCTCCCTCTCTTCGAATTCGATCCCAGCAAACCCATCTGAACCCAAACCATGGCTTCCGGTTCAGTCCCTTCGCGCTCTACCTTCTTCTCCGGCGCCGTCACCTCCGCGCTCAACCTTCTTCTCTGGCGCCGTCACCTCCGCGCTCACCTTCTTCTTCGACGCTCCGACCTCCTCGCCGAGGCGGTACCAATCAAGATCCGTTGACGGCAGTGAAGACTGAAGAAGATGGTGTTGTGGGTAGACAAGTACCGACCCAAAACCCTAGACCAGGCAATTGTCCACCAAGACATCGCCCAAAACCTCAAGAAACTCGTGCAACTCTACCCCTCCCTCGTCGATTTCAATTCCCAATTTCTACGATTTCATAACCCTAACTTCTTCTTGTGCACATTGCAGAGCAGGATTGCCCCCATTTGCTCTTTTATGTCGTTGGGCATTTTGTTCAATTTCACTTTTTTTAGTTTAATTTTGTAAGTTTTACAGTAAAAATGGTTGTTTGAATACGAACTTTCGAGATTCAGATCTTCTGTAGATTGATTTTTATGGGTTTGATTTACTGAGATTGATTTGTACTGGGATCAATCTGGGCATGCGAAGAACACGAAACGTATGGAAGAAGAGAAAGCAGAGAAACGGGAGAGAGAGGGAGAGTCAAATAAAAAGGGTAAGTTAGTCATTTAATCCCGTTCCGTTCTGTTCCATCTTGCTAGTACCAAACATGACACGAAATCTTTGTTCCGTTCCATCCCGTCCCGTTCCGTCCTGTCCCGTTCCGTCCCGTCTGCGTACCAAACGGTACCCGATGGAACACATTTTCTCCAAATTGGGAAGGAACAGCTTGGCAAAATCATGGTGGGCAGGATGAACTGCATACTCTGCCATCCCCTCCACACTCTCAAAGGTGGTCTCAAAGACATGAATGTAACCTTCCTCCTCCTTTTCAATGCTCAGCTCCTTTCCCCTGATTAAAACATTCTAACGGTTAAAAAGTTCAAAATATTTATAAAATCTCTGCAAATAGATCACATCAGACACTAACGTATTACACAATATTTGGTTTGTTGAATGATATGACAATTTCGTATTTGTTGTTAAAAGTCTACAACTTAGTCTTAAAAACAAAAATAAAAAATATAACATTGTTACGTATTGGAAGGAGCAAAGATACGAAGGATTAGATATGAGATAAACAATCCCTCCTCGATAATCACATACCTTAATTTTTTTTCTTCAGATATGTGAAGGTATGCGAGACCTCCACTTAATTATTATTATTATTTTTTTTTTTCACGTAGTAAATAGACCAATGAGAATCATATTCATTCATTCTTTCACTCTTTATAATTGGGTAAAAGGGAAAGAGATCTTCTCCAGATGTTTTCCTCCAAAGCCCAGATCAAATGATCCGGACTCTTGAAATTTGATCAAACGGCAAAAAATTATTATAACTTTCATGGGCTCGGATTTCAAGGATCGTTGGATCAAAGTTCAAGAGTCCGGATCGCTGGATCAAAGTTCAAGAGTCCGGATCGTTTGATTTGCAGGCTTTGAAGGAAGAGATCCGGAGATGATCTCTTTCCGTGGAAAAGAATTAAGAAAGAGATTAGGGAGGAGGAGGTATTGTGTACCAGTGGAAGGACTTCATGGGCTCAACGAGGTTGACCAGGTTGGCAAAAGATTCGATGAGCTGCTCGATCTGGCTCTCTGATGTTCCTTCTTTGAACTTTGCCATCAGAATATTCTTTAACTCTCCTCCCTTTGCTTCCTCCATCTCTCAAACTTCTCTGGTCATCTGTTTTGGTCTAATCCTTCTTCAACTCACCATTCCTGCTATATTTTAACTTTCTTTTGTCGCCTTCAAATAAAAAATAAAAATATTTTGTTTTTGTTTGCTTGTATAGTATAATAAAGGCATCAACTTAATAATTTAAGAGCCTTCATACACTAAACTTTATTCATTAAATGATATGACAATGTTTGATTGATTTCAATAGGAACTTTATTTTACTAATAAGTAAGACATTGACCGGGTTCGTTAATGATCTAATTAGGCCTAATCTTTTTTTTTTTTTCCCTTTTTGAGGTAAAGGCCTAATACTATTTGGGTGTGTTTGTTGCACCGTATTATCTCGGACTAGACTAGCTTCAAGGACTAAGTTTGCCGCCTCTGTTTCCTCGCGCCTCTAAATTTTATGAGAAGAGGAAGAATTTTTATTGGGATTGTTATTTTTGTTTTGCTTTTTAGTTTCGGATCTAGGCATGGGTAGGCTGAGTTTCAAATCTGGGTTTACGATCTGGGCATGGAGGCAAATGGAGTTGCAGAGAGGCATGCTTTGCAGACGACATTGTGTGCACACAACACAAGTTCAGAGATGGGACTAGCAATCCCAAACGTTTTGGGGTGCCTTGCTAGTCGGCACGAGGCCGACTTAGTCCTATTAAATTCCGACCCGCTCACACCAAACACTGGACTAGTAAGCCAATCTAGTTCAGTGAAACTTAAGGAGGCCAAACAGGTGCCCTTTAGGTACAGACTTGACATTGTTTCATTGGCTCCACCAGAGAAAAATTTCTAAGTCCACCACTTGACTACACGATCTTCTTAGGCCATCTCTAACCGAAAGAGGGTCAGAGGACTCTCTTTAGCTCTATAGCCCTCAAAGAAATTGTATTTTAATAAACAGTGCCATGTCATATTTTATACTATCTCCAACCAAGGGGGCCAAAGGGCCATATGCCAAACATAGCCCTGTGACAAAAAAATCTCCAACCGAGGGGGCTAAAGAGCCATATGCCAAGCATAATTTATTATTTCAATTTAAAGACTACAACAATTTAAATTTAAATACTACAACGTAAATATTAAAGACTACAACAACTTAAATTTAAAGACTATAATCATCATCATCATCATCATCATCATCCACCATTGTAGGAGTATAGTCAGATCTAAACAACTCCAGTCGGGCTATAATTTCCCTCTTTTTCCTATCAAAATATGTCTTACTCATTGGAGTGTAATCCGAAGTGTTTTTTTGCATGTTCCTATCATCCATCTCTTCTTGTATTTGTTTTGCCCGTTCTTCGTGCCTACGGTTCCTTTCTTCTGTGGCAATGACATTTTGCTCCGCCATTAATCTGAATGAGGCTGCCATTTCCTATTGAAAGGCGTAATCATCCTTTGCCTTGCCCTTTTCCTTTAATTTTTGGATCTTGTTTCGTCCCGTAGCCCTAGGTATGGAACCTTCACCAGGAGACGGATTTTCTACCCCTGTTTCTTGAATGGTAGGAGATCCATCTTCATCCCCATCTGCATTTGAGGATGCATTTCCGAACACCGGTGTAGGACCAATGATAGGAGCATATTTATGCGATTTAGTTAGCTTATTTTCTTGCAATTATGTTGTTAGTCTTAGTCATTCATGTACTTTAAGCCATTTTCGTGTGTTTATAGGTCCAAAGGATTAATGAAGCAAATAAGTGCATTTTGGAGCTTTTTGGAGCAATTTTGGGCTTGGAATAAATATCACATGCTTGGAACTAAAGGAATTGACGAAATTGAAGACCTAAAGATGAGGATTCCTAGTTGAAGTAGGAAAGTTAAGCCAAGGTTTCCTATTTCGGTTTAATCTTTCCTAAATCATCACAACACCACTCCATTTTACCCCCCATGCTTTGCATCATTACTTCACTTTCACCTTTGAATCATTTCAACACCACTCCATTTTACCCCCCATGCTTTGCATCATTACTTCACTTTCACCCTTGAATCATTGCACACACACTCCATGTCACCCTCCATTGCCTTGCACTTCCTCTATAAAAGGAAGTGTGTAACATAAATTTAAGTCATATTTTGTTAGATCATTCACTCCCATTTCAACATAACCTTCATCCAAACACATCCATTCATCATCACATCCATTCCTCCATACAAACAAACCTTCAAACACTCACCAATACCTTGTGCCGTAGCAAAGGAAGGAAAGGAAAGTGCTTGGACGTGCTTGCTGTCAACTTGGATCGTTGGAGCATTTAGGTGTTTTCTTTCTTTTGTTTCCAATGTTTAAATTCATTTTCTTTCGTTTTGTTGTGAACATGAGTGGCTAAACCCCTCTTGGCTAGGGGTGATTTCAAAGCCATGATTATGTGTACAATATGATTATGTGTACAACATGAATTCTTGCACCTGAACCAGAGCAGTTGAATTGGCAAGTTCAGTTGTAGTGGCCGAAGGGCTAGCCGCTCCAGTAGTGCTGGACAAGAAAGCCTTGAACTCGACTTCCCATGAAGGCTGCACACAAGAAATCAGTTTAGGTTTAAGGACATCACGAAACAACATAGCAAGAAGGTTTGTTTTAAACCTGCCGAGAGGAGACTTCGGCCACATCTTCAGGTTCATTGCTCGAACCTAAAGAACTTAATGGCCGAGCCCAGTGTCTTAGACTGCTTCTCAGTTCACGCGACCGATGAAGGTTATCTACGTTCGATGGCCATTGAGGCGGCCAAGAAATATAGATAACACCCTTCAGCGCGTAGAATTTTCGATGAAAAGAATGGGTAAGCACCTGACATTAGGTATCTTCCTCGTTTAGAATTCTAAGGCAGAAAAGTAACCAAGAGAGAAGCAGTATGGGTACTTACGAAGGCCGAAGTTGCTTCTTGGGAAGGAATGTTGAGGTCCTCGTCCTGCGGGTGAATTGGCGTTTCGACTGACGCTTCCGGCTCTACGGCGGGTTGTTTTCCACCGTCGGCTGCAGAAAGGCCGACCCGTATAACCACCTCGTCCTGGTCCAGTGGGCGAACAGGCGTTTCTACCGTTGCCTCTGGATCCACGGCAGGTCGTTTTCCACGGTCGGCCGCTGAAGGACCGACTTGGACAACCGTTTCGGGCACATGAGGAGTTTGATCGCGTGGTTGGAGGTGACTCACCAAGGGAAGTTCGTCACTCCCATCACTTTCTCCTAGAACGACCGCTGTTTGCTTTGGATTTTTGGGACGGGTTTGTTCAGCCGAAGGGATCGCCTCTTCCAAGAAAGGTGCAGCGACTGGCCCCGAAGCTACATGCACATCGACCGATGGAGCGACGGCTGCTTTAACAACTTTGGAAACAGGCCGTATTAGGGTGGTATCCTTGGCTGGAAGGGGCCGTTTTTCTGTCGAAGCAAGGACAACGGGGGCAGAAGGGGAGACACTAGGAGTCGTTGTCCCCGTGGTCTGGCTGGAGATAACATGAATTTCCCGTTCTCCTTTCTTCGCCAGTGACTTGACCCGTTTGGCAGGTCGAGGAGGAGGGTCGATAGTCGTCTCAGCTTCTTGGCGAGGCCGCTCTCCCTTCTTCGTTAGTTTCTTGACCCGTTTGGCAGGTCGAGGGGGGTCGATAGTCGTTTCGAATTCTTGGCGAGGACGTTTGCTTAGCAAGGCCTGTGCGGTGGTCTTAGCCTTCTTGGAGAGGGTCGATTTTTTCTCAGTTGCAGCTGCAGCGACCACTTCGCCCTTTTTCAGCGACCGACTACCTGAGAAAGTGAAAGCAAATCAGTAGCGTTCAAAAGATGAAGGAAGAAGATGGAAATAAACCATTACCTTGGGATTGAGGGGCAGAGGCCTTTGTAGGTCAATCACCGAAGATCTTGTTCAGAACGTCTTCGACCGGTGTGCTGAAAAAGTTATGGGTGTAGTCTTCCCACCACTCGCAGAAAGTATTGGTGCTGAGTGTTTCTGGAGTGATCGGTCGAAGGCAGAAATTTTGGCATTGCTCTTGGAACTCCCTCTTGGCGATATTGCATTCCTTATCTGAGGAACCAGGTTCGCGTCCACGGCTTAGGACGGTTCGTGAGGAGAGAAGGGGGACCGGGTAACCTTGGAGGTAGCTAAGCTGTCGAGCAAGGAAGTTAGGATGGTACACTTCCCAGCCTGCTCGGCGACCATCACAGCCGAGAGGTAAGTCGCAGATGAGTACGAATGACCCCCAGGACTGATGAAGGTCGGCATCTTCGTCCGCACCCCACACTGATGTAGGAAGCTTGATTGATGAAGGGTATTCTCGACGACGACATATCAAGAACTCGTCGTTAGAAAGGTCGTCGAGGGCGAAAAAGTATCTAAATACCTCTTCGGCTTGGTAAGGGGGTGTTGGTCGGGAAGCTAGCTGAGGTCCAAGCACTTCCGTTGGCGAGAAATCAATGATTGTTGGCCGAAGAGAGGCGAAGTAAACTTGCAACCAGAGTTGAAAGACCCAGAGGTGACCGTTCTGGTACGGGCTGATCTTGTGAAGGGTCGTCTCGGCCAAGCAGCAGAAGAGATGGGCGAGAATGTTTGACCTAAGTGACAGAGTGTGACCACTAGCCAGGGCTTCGGCCATTGGCATGTTCTCGACCAAGCATTTGTTAGATTTGGTACAACAGATATATTTGTTGTACCAATAGAAGAGGAAAGCCTCGTGTTCCCTTTCTCGCAGAGCCTCTTCTCCTTGGCCGGCAAAATAGAGATAAAGGGTGTTGTAGTTGAAGAAGTTCTTGTGAAGCTTTTGAACGTCTTCTTTCGAGGGTGTTTGACCCTCACCGCTCAAAGTCTCAAGGGCTTGTTTGTCGAAGAGCGTCTTCAGGTCAAGGTTCGACGGGTACCTAGAGAGGGCAACATCGATGGGGATTCCAGATGCTGAAGTCCCTAAAATGGCGGTGATATCAAGAATGGTGGGACCAATGGGACCGAGAGGGAGGACCATGGTGTTGGTGGCCGAACACCAGAAGCATAAGGCTGCTAGGAGAAGCTCTTTGTCGAGGACGACGTCCATAGATGAGAGGAGAATGGCGTCGTAGATGCCTAGGGCTTTCCATTGCTCGTCGAAGAGTTTCTCTATTCGTACAACCCAGGCTGCCCAGGTGGTAGTGGTCGAGGGCCAAAAGCCTTGAGGCCTTGCCAAATCCCACTTCGACCATTCAAATCCTTGAAGCAAGGATGACAGTCAGTGTTCTTGGAGAAGTCTGGTGAAAGTTGGTGGCGCTGCCGCTTTGAAAAGGGGACCAAGAATTTGGTGAGTGGTGCTCATATCATTTTCAAAGCGTATGGTCTTGATTGAACTTCGATCAATAATTTTCTGGCATTGGTCACATTATTTCGAAAGCTTGGAGATGAAGGAAGCCATCGTGAGAGGTTTGAAGGTAGGAAAAGAGAAGAATCGTTTGGATTAGGGTGAAGACGAAGACCTGGAGAAAGAAGATTTTCTGGAGAGTAATGGCGGAAAGTTGAAAGCGTAGAGTACAAATGAGAGAATTTCAGTATTTATAGACTAGTAGGAAGGAGAAGGTCAATCGTTTGAAATTCAAAATAGGGGGTGAAATCGGCCGGAGGATTCGCTAATCATTATGAACATTCAGGGAATCTGGTTGAAAGAACCGAGGATTTCGTATTTTGGGGCGCACGATTGTGTGTGACGGCAGGATTTATGATGAAAGGACATTTTGGCGTCTGCACGATGTTGGATGATTCGTGGATCAAGGTGGCGTGTCTGAGTTCAGCAATAAGATTGGCATAATGAAACAGTTTAGTAAGCCGCACGCTTTGAGTGTCATTATTAGGAGGAAGTCGATTTGAAAGATGCCACGTGGTGGATCAGTTGGCAGAATCAAGAACATGCAATCGTGCTCCATTAATGCGTCTTGGAAATAGAGTATTTGGATTTCTAGGGTTAGTTTCGCTTCTTCAAGGTCGAAGCTCGACCAGAGTATTCAGGCCGAAGACCTCAGAAGCGAGGGGGAAATGTTTGGGCCCAAAATATTAGTTTGGGCCGAGTATGGAATCATTTTCAGCCTGGAAGGCCTTACGAAAGGGTTACCATGAATCGTTTAGTTTGTGGGCTTCCAAGACCTAGGTCGGTTGAGTCATGCTGTGAGATGAGTAGTCGAATCCTGGTGCAATAAGGAGTCTCGGCGAGTAATAACACGGAAGTGAATCCAGATCGATAAAGGACTGGGTTCAAAATCATAGTGAAAATAGGACTGGCCGAGTTGGGTGATGCAAGGGCCTGCGAGTCGATTATGATACCACTATTTAGCACACTATACGATATATGTTTTATGAAAGGTTTTATGGCATGCTAGGGTTTTTAGAGAAACCTATCACATATTATGCTATTAGTTTTCATAAAACTTTGGGGGTTAGTATGTTGATAACAGTTTCAGTATTATATATATATATATATATATATATAATCAACTTGGTTCACTCATGTTTGTTTTACGCCCCCTCAGGACATAGGAACAAGGCGTACGATCCGAGATACGAGGTTTTCCCCTACCAGTGACATCATATCATCCTCTCTACTTTGACATCTATTGTAATAGCTCTTCTCTATTTTATCTTTCGCTTGTACTCTGGATTAGTTGTATGCTCTGAACATGTCATGCATTATCATTAGATTCATTGTTGACAGTTGATTATTATTATGGTATTTTGTAAGACGTATATTTGAGTATTACTTTGCGTAGTCACGCACGAAATTTATACACATGTTTTACATGTTCTTAGCATATGCATTCATTAAATGGCTTGCGTTACCCTCAGGTGTCAGCCAACACGTGGCCATCCTAATGTCCCTTTGACATCAGGATCGGGGCATGTCAAGTACACCCTAAAGCCCAACCCCAAGGTTGAGCCCAATTTCATTCTCCATGGTCCATTACTCCAATTATCTATTCTAAAATTGAGGAGGGATTTGACTGTAGCTTAGCTACAGTCAAATGTTTGTCACTTGATTTTGTTTTATTTACACCAATACCATCATATTTGTGCTTGAGTTGGAGGGTAATTATTAAAAATTAGGAGGGTAATATTGTCTCTGAACAGATTTCGTATATTTACAGTTTTGCCAGTTTTGTTGTGAGATGGGCCCTTGATTTTGCATTATTTACGTTTCTGCCATTTTCAGAAGGCAAGGGCTGCACATGCAGAGAGGGAGATAGGCGTGGGATGGCAGGGAGGGAAAGAGACATGGAGGAGTGAGGCTGCCAAAAAAGGGGTTAGGGTTGATTTTTTCTCCTCAAATCAAGGGTTGGTGTCGGTGATTGAGTGATTGAGAGATTGAGAGATTGAGAGAGACAGTAACACACGCCTTCATTTCCCTTTCTCAAAGTGAAACCCTAGCAGCCACACCACCAACTCTAGCCGATCTCTGCAATAGTGTCGGCTCCTGCTTCCGAAAACCCAAACCGCACAAACCTGGCCTCCATTTCTGTAACTCGGAGCTTCGTCTCTCTGGGTCAGATGGACTGGCCTAAACATCAAATTGTCATCAAATGGTGGAATAGTGGAGCGGTAAGTTATCTAGATTCTCGAGGTTCTACGTTGTTGTTCTAGGACGTTTCTGCATCAGTCGTTTCTCTCTTTTAGTGTAAGCATGTGGTTATACTCTTTTAGGTGTAGGTGTCTGATAAGAAAGCAAAGGCCTGGTATGCTTCCAAGGGAAACATACTTTGAGACTTCTGCAAAACAGGGCTGCCATGTAGATGATGCCTTCCAGTGTACAGCCAAAAACGCGCTGAAGAATGAACCTGAAGAAGAAATGTAACTACTTTTTGCTTAGCTGATTTATCATTTTGTTTTCCAGTCACTTTTCCCCAAAAGTTTCTTCTTTTTCAGCTTTGAATTTAGTCCCTCTCCAATTATTTTAGGAAATATCTTATACCATCGGGACCCTAATTTGAGATAAGTTTCTGAATGAGTGAATACAATTCTATTGTTGATCAATTTAGAGTAATTTATTTACCAGTCAATTAATTTCCATCAAATCGTGATGCTAGGTATAGATAGCAATTATCTTCCTATTTATTCCTGTCCCATAACAAGTTGATATGTATACCCACTTTTAAAAAGGAGGAGAAGTACCTCTTGGTTGTAGTTGCTTTTGATTATTGGTAATTATAGTCAAGTAGGATTCCCTTGCCTTTTTAATAAAAGTGTTCTTGCATTCAACCCTTGGAGGTATGAGATTTACCACATCGTTTAACACACTTTTGCCAGTTAAGGGAGCATTTTGCTCTTCAACTAAACCAAGATCTATTATTACCCCTCTTAAATTTTTGGAGAGGTTGTAAGCATGCACCATGAGTAAAATTTGTGAGAAAACAATGGTCCCATTAATTAAATGGTGAGAGATCATTTTAACAAGCATGATTAATGTAGTTAATTAGCACTTAGCATCAGACAAGCTCTTTTTACAGATGATATATTTTTCATTGGTAAGGAGTCTAATCTTACGTGTGTACTTATCCTAAGCACTTAGGAGTGCTGGCCATGAGGTTTTATTGCATGAATGGATGATGAACGTGATATGAAATTCATGACAAATTAATGGAATTTACTTTCATTTAACAAAACTTTATTGTGGTGAATAATAGGCCTTCATAATTAAGATCTTTCATTTTATATTTTATTTCTGTTTGCGTTCCAGGTATTTTATACATTCTTTCTCACTCAGGTACACATTGATGGGAAAGAGGTGGCTCAAAAGCGAAGAAACATGGTGACTTTGAGGAGGAAAAGAAAAGAGGAGAAAACACGTACATTCTTCTTCCTTTTTCTTTCTGTGTGTTTTTGGGTGGAGGATGTGAGAGGTTGTTGGTGTTTGGCTTCTGTGGCTATGTTTGACCGTGTTTGTATTGATATTTGTTATTCCTTTCAGGTTTGAGAGATTAACAGAGAAAGCGTAAGAAACAGATGAAGGGAGGAGATTGAGCTGAATGATCTCGGTCAAGCAACAATCGTAATTGTAAGCTCAAGAGTAACTCTTTTTGTGTTAGTTGAATGTAAGAAATTTTTTTCATTTGTTATTTCACTGTTCGGCCTCTGTTCTTATAATTTAGGGATTGATAGATTGTATTTTCCCTCTCTCTTGGTTCCTTTCTGCCATTTCTTTCTCTCATTGCTTCTGAAGAAACCTAACTGCACGTTCTTTTTTTCCATTTCCAAGCTTCTGTTATGGTTTATACTGCTGTATTTTCTCTTTTTGATGAGGCTTGATGTGTGATTAAACTAAATTATGTTTTGGGTTTGTGTATACTGCTAATTTTCTTAGGATTCTTTCTGTCAAAGTTTGTAATTTCTTAAAAAGTTATTTTTGGGTTGCTGAAACTAATTAATTTGATCAGTGTGATTTTTGGTGATTAGGAATTTAGGACCTTGGTAACTTGATTGATTATGAATTTGTGGGTTTATCTCCTAATTAGTATTCAAATTTAGTGCATATATAAGTCCATTTCTTAAGAGGGATCTATTTTGATAAGAAACAAGACCTTTCAATGTGTGGTTCAAACCGTCAAATTCATAAGTCCAGATGTAACTATATTCTTCAAAAGACTTGGCTAACTATGGTTTTACCATTTGGTTATTATCTTAAACATTTTGGTATTTACTCAAAAGCATTATATACTCATTTTCTTAGTTAGTTGACTTAGTAATTTCCTATTTGGGTTTGATCTAGCAAACACACACCCAAGGCTGCATAAGAAGAAACTTGGTGATGCCAAAAAAATCTTGGTGCATGCCTCCTAATTGAGATCTGCTTGCTTACTTAATCATTCAGTGTGGTGTGTTTGTTTACAATTTAATTCCTTTTAATTGTGGCCGTAGCACAATTACTTGAATATACAGAAATGAAAGGGATGGTTTCTTGCGATATCTGTGTCCATATGGATTATAGCTGAGTGTAAAAAAATGATGTGATGCCTGCCAGAAATAACAACTCTTTGAGCATCCTAATTTGTGGTGTCTATATGGATTATAGCTCATTGTAATAACAACTCTTTGAACATCCTAATTTGTATGTGTTTGTCTGAGAGCAATTGATTACTACAAAGTATAGAAGTAATTCTTTCTTCAGTGAAAAATAAAAGGAAATTTTTACAAGGGTTTCTTCTGTCAAAATTGAGCATGTTTGAGAATTGCTAATGGATTTACTATGTTTGGGAATTTTAGGAATTTATATCATTGGAGGGCGAAGTTGGTTCCTTGACATTTTGAGGTATATCATTATACACCCTGTTTTTTTATTCAAGGCTTAATCAAGGGGATATCCTTATTTTTGGACTTTCTCCTCTTTGAAACAGAGAGTTAGACCTCAATTGTTTGTGGATTCTCTAATTTCTGTGGTGTTTGATGTGTATTTTTTGGTTTTAGTGTTTTATGGATTTTTGGAATTTGGATTTAGGCTAAACTATTTGCACAGATTTTTTTTATTTTTTTATCATTATTCATTTCCCAGTGAACTACTATTGCTCAAACAATATGGAACCAGCCGAGTAAGAAATAAAGGCTCCACATCATTCTTCGGTATTCTTTTTATGGTTTCTATTTCCTTGCTGAGAAAGGAACATTTGTGGAACTGGATGGGAACCTTCATTCTTTGTCATGTAACTTTTTAACAAGACACTGCCAATGTTGTGGATGACATTATTTTGCTTTGCTGGCTGCTAATTTGTTGTGTTTAATTCTTCTTTGTAGCTGAAGTTTTCTTTCGCAAAGCGTTGACCGACTGTTGTAGTCATATCTGCGTTTCATTTTGTAAACTTTTTTCCATACTTCCAAGTGTATGTTTTGGAATGGTGAAATTTTTGTGATGGTTTCATACTCTGCTGTCTTCAATGCACTGTCAAATCTTATTCTAAGGATGTTGTTTGAATATGATTTGTTAAGACATCCCATGATTCACAATTTATGTGTCTTTCTGTTGAAATTATTCATCCATGTCCTACATTACGATTTCAAAATCCGCAGCAGCGCGCGGGCAATTTTTCTAGTATATACTAAAACTCAAACATCTGGTTACTGTTCTAGGGCAGTGCGCGGACTAAAATGCCCCTGCTTCTTTTTTGTTATTTCAACTTTGCCCTTCAACATTTTTGTCCGGTTCCTTTTCTTTCCTGCTTTCTTCAGTGATTCCTTTTCATTGCTTTTGGTTCAATTTTTTTCCCATTTCTTTTGCTTCTCTTCTTCCGTAGCCGTTTGCTCTCTCCTCTCTTCGCCTCTGTTGGTCCCAAAGTGGATGGTTTTGCGGTGAGTTCTTCTAATCTTGCATCTACTACTTTTTTATGCAACTGTATGGATTGTGTTCTATTCAATTTTAGATGTTAGAAGCTTTTAATTTTTTTGGGTTCAATTTTAAATGGGCTTGCTTTCAGAGTTTTCGTTTGATGACAGAGATGGGGTTTTTGGGGAGAAACTTTTAATCCGTGAGTTTTTTTAGTTTGGTTGTGTTGTGGGTTTTGAGAAATGGATTTTCGATTTGTAAATGGATTTTATATTGAAATTGTTTCTCTTCTCATTTTTGTGTTTTTTTTTTTTTGTGCCATCGGGTTTTGCATATGGGTGTATAATCAGGTTTTCTTTTGAATTTCAGGGGATTCAGGTTTTTATTTTTCTGGAACTTTTGTTTGCAGCTTTGGAAGACATTTGTGCTTAAGGTGAGAAACTTTCGTTGCTCGCTTTTGGGTTTTGTTGTAGAATTAATTTTTTTTTTTTTAAGAGTTACATTCGTGGGAATTCATTTGTTCTTCTTTTTTCCTGCATCTGAAAAATGTCACATGATGTGGGTTTATAATTAAATAAGAATATCAAAATGGGTCTTCTGTGCAAATTTTCTTTTTCTGATTTTATAGAACCGAAGAGGATGTTAACAATAACATTATTGTGTGATATGCGATCTAAAGTTCTTTGGTGAGTTATTTGGTTTTCTTGCCACATGGGATTTTATTATATATTTTTTTCGTGGTTTATGCGTGGTTCTCTGATGTGTTTTGATTTTTGATTTCAAGAAAAGTTAAGGATACGATCAAACGTTTACTGGTGAATTTTCTATTTTTCTGATTGTGTGTGATTTAATTTTTTTCAAGCTTTGGGTGTACTTTTCTGATCTGCTTTGATTTTTAGTTGCAGCAAAAGTTGTTGCTCGAATTTTCCAGTTTTTATCTGCAGCTTTGCAAGCTCTTTATCAACAAGGTATATAATTTTTATTCTTTTTCCTGAATCGTTTGTTGGATGGAATCATTTTTTTGTTTTTGGTGAGTTCTTCTAATCTCGCATCTGGTACTGTTTTTTTTCCGACTGTATAGATTGTATTTTGTTGAATTTTAAATGGTAGAAGCTTCTTGGGTTCAAATTAAATGGGTTGTTATCAACATCGAATTGCTTTCGAAGCTGTTTGGCTACTCCCTTAACGCCCTTTTTCCTTTTCTTTTCAGCTTCTTCGATCTGCAGCCCCCTTCTTTTTTTTCCTTTTCCAGATTTAGCTTTTTTCCCCTATATTGTATCTTTTGGCTGATTTTGTGGGTCTTGGTCAGTGCTGTGGGCATTGGTGAATTCCTAGCATGTTTATGCATGCAGTTTTTGTTATAATGTATGGATTGTGTTTTGTTCAATTTTAAATGTCAGAAGCTTTTAATTTTTTTGGGTTCAATTTTAAATGGGTTGTTATCAACCATTGAATTTCTTTTGGAGTATTCATTTGATAAGAGAGATTATTGGGAAATTTCTATCGTGTTTATGCATGCATTTTTTTGTTATAGATTTGGAAGAACATAGCATTACAGGGTGTTGAGGGTTTGCTGGCGGGGGAAAGTAGCAGCGTTAAGATTTTGCAAGTGAGATATTAGGGTGAGAGAAAAACGGGACAAAGAGCATCGAAGACGCATTTGGGATTAGGGGTAGCAAAACAGGGGAAAAGAATATGACAAAGGAATGGACGCTTAATTTTTTTCTTAACTGGTTTGGGATTTTGCTTGCCTTTGGGGTTGTTGGTGTCAAGCCATTTGGTGTCAAGTGGTGTCTGTTTTTTCATAACTTTTATTACTAATTTTTATTTCGTTTGCGATTTTGTGTCCTGGGATTTCTGAATTTTATCGTTCATTGTCGGTTTTTTTAATTTTTTTTGTCTTCATTTGTTTGTTTAATATGTTGTGTTTGTGCTGGGACGCCATTTTGCAAGTTTTCTTTCCATTGGGACCGCTACGTTTTATAAGTGATGCGGGTGAGGTTTAGATACTCAAAACACTCCATTTTTTTTCCAAATATGCGCGTTTGGTTCTCTTCGGTTTTAAATGTTTAAAATTAAATGGTTATTTTGATAAAATGGTTTTTTAGTTTTTCTTATGTGTTGTGATCAGGAATTCAATTGGATTGGGTAAAATGCTTTATCAATTTACGTTATAGGGAATTTTGTGTATTATGGTCTGTGAGTTTTATTGCTCATCGTTTGTTCTTTTTTCTTTGTTTGCCGGTTTCTTTTGCAAGGGATCACTATAGTTTGGGCATCTTTTCGAGTTTTAAATTGCTTGAGGGTAAGATTTAGATAATAAAATTCGAAACGAGGCGTTACTTTTCTTTTTGGAAACTAATTTAAAAGTTCAGCATGGATAGTTAACTGTGTTGAAATGTCTTGATAAAACCTGAACCTTTTGTTATATGTGAATGTTCATTCCTTACTACAAATATAATAGGCATAGTGGTCTAAAAAATTAAAACCCACTGACACATGACATTAGAAATTCAAACCAATTTCTACTGTTACCATTACCTTCTTTCATTCAGATCATCAGCATGTAGTTCAAATCTAGATCAAACCTAGATGAAATTCAAGTGATAAGATTTATTGTCATTGTTTCAATAATTTACATTGTTTTAGTACCCAGGTTTACAGCATGAGTCGAAGATCCAAGAACATTTTGGCAGACTTTGATATTGAAGACACTAATTTTGCTCCTTGTTTTGTACTTTAATGTCCAACTTTTTACATGTTTTATACACCGACACCCGCAGCAACGCGCGGGCACTATGACTAGTCACTATCTATAAGGGACAAAGCCTTATAAAGTGAGGAAACCTCTTGGTAATGGCCAATGTGGGACAACAAAATTTCTACTCAAAATTTCTAACAAAAGTCCCATATTGGTGAGGGAAAGGAAGAATTTAAATAAAATTACCGCTCTAACTAACACCGTATCTCCACTCTAACTAACACTGTATCAGTGTTGTTGGAGCGAGCCATCGGCCCGTCGACCTGAAAAATTCAACCATGAGAATTCACTTTCTATTAGAAATGTGATTTTTTTTAATAATTTTTTAATAATCCTTTAGCCTATAGGGTTTATATATATATATATATATTTTTTTTTAGGGAACTTTAACGAAAAACTCCGGATACTATTCACTTTAACGAAAAATCACATTTTTACACTAAAAAGTCAATCCTACTATTCACTTACAACACTTTTTTTTCCTTTTCGTTAAAACTCGAAGTTTTCATATTATTTTCATTAGGTTTTCCTTTATATATATATATATATAATGTGCTTTAGTTAGGACAAGTTTTAGTTCACCATCTTTGAACTCTATGACAATATCCCTGTTTGAGTCAAATTGACCAATATCACCCACAATTAAACCAGCAATTTCATCACATGTAGGTTGTCCATATTGTTTATCATCATTTAACCGCCTACCTAATATAGATATTTTCAAAGAAGGGAGAGAATTGTTTTCAAATTTATCTCTAATTGTTCGAAACATTTGAACCAATTCATTCAATTCATTGAACATGTTGATTAGACGTTCAACAATATTCTCATCAAGCTTCATATTTCTTTCCTTACAATTAACAGCATTAAGACGATTTCCAATTTCATTAGCAGTGTCATAAACATACAGTTGAGCAAACTTTGGACATTCACCATCAGGGGGTAACAAAGAACCCATTAAATGATGTACTTGACCACTAATTTTGAAAATGTAAGGACCTGATTGATTATTAACTGTGTGATCAACTGTAGCTCCCAATGAAGTGAATGCAAACATAGAATTATAAGCTCTGATGTTCTCTCTAAACAATAAACTTTTTTGGCCTTTAGTTGGGTCAAGCAAATTTTCTAAAAAGTGAGGAGTAGGCAATGGACGTGGGAGCTTGACTTTTCCTTGTTGGCAACAAAGAGAATAAAGGGGCTCATTATTCTTTGACTTCTGTTTTAGAGACTCTTTTATCCAAAAATATGCACCACAGTAGATGCATTTATAATTCTTGTCTCCCAAATCCACATATTTCTGAACATTTCCTATAAAAATATGTGAAAAAGAGAGGGAAAAAAAGTCAATCTATTAGTAGTATAGTCATAAATACTTAACCAACCCAATGAAAGTGTAAGTTAAAAAGATAGTTTACCTTTTTTATTTTTCTGAAAATTGGCTTGACCTTTACTAATTTGATTCGGATTATCACAAACTTGTATGCCACTGGAAGAACCAACAATATGGTCTTCTTTTCGTCTTTTGTTATGAGGTTCAAAGCTTGGTTTATCACAAACTTGTATACCACTGGAAGAACCAACAATGTGGTCTTCTTGTATCATTCTATTCAGTTTGCTATCTCTGGACCTTCTTAACATGCCTTGTAAAAAGTTCAAACTCCAAACAACAGATAATGGGCAGAGAACCCTAGGAAAAAAAGTCAATTATTAAATAGTTGACTATGTAATCTACAATCAACCAAAACAAACACATAAAAGTCACATTTCAAAACTATCATACAAAAACCAATACCAATAATGTTTCAGAAAATCTTAGTTGACAATCTTTTACGATTGAAACCACACTATAAAATGTTAAATCCTTATGTAAACATACAATCCAAAACGAAGACAAATTTGAAAGATTTGAGCCTTACCTAACCACCAATAAAACCAAAGGCGTAGAAATAAGATATGCAATTGGATTTCAACTGTAGCAGCTACTGCTGTCTAAATTTGAAGCTGAGAATTGAACAAAATAGAAAAATAATAAGTTTAGTCCTACCAAGCAATAGACCACAGAACAAAAAAAAACTTAAAAACATATAGTTAAAAAGTAAAAACATAAACAGGTATGAATATTAAGTGAACCAAAAGCAGAACAAACCCCTAAAAGTGCTTAACTTCATGTGGGTTTTCTAGTATTTTATCAATAATATCAAATCAATAAAACCCTTGATGCAAATCCAATCCGATATTGAAAACAGATGAATATAAGAGAGAAGGAAAAAAAACACTTTTATTGGGCCTCATATTTACTGCATTTACAAATGTTCACATGTCAACCATTTGTCTACAAAACAGAGATTTCAGTATTAACAGTGTAAAGAACTGAAAATTACAATTAAGATCAATGTTCTCCTCCTTTTTCTCATTACCATAAAAGGCAAAAAACATAAAGGTTTCTAAAACTCTAACCAGCCATCTGATTTCTTCCCAAAAATAAATACATTTTAATCCAACATTCATAAATGCATAATCAAACAGGGAAAATATTGACAGAAAACATACGCAAAAATAATAGCACCACGATAGCTATTTGCAAATCTGTGATTGAGAAACTGAGCAACCAAAATGCAAAATATACTGTTTGCCAGTAAAATCCTAACAGAGGACCACAACTGTTCCAAAGGAAAATCATTAGAGTTTGATCGAAATTAACCACTCATATCTCAGTGAATAAAACTAAGCAATGATGCAGGAAAATCAATTAGAAGCTTGAGATATACAAAAAAATTAAATTTATCGACCAACAAAATTGGAGCTATTCCCCTAATTTTAACCATTAAGAATGTAAAGAATTGAAAATTACAATTAACCATTATGTACTTGATAATCACAAATGAGGTCATAAGGTAAAAAAAGCTAACCACTCAAATCTCAGTACTAAGCAATGATGCAGGAAATCAATTAAAAGCTTGAGATACACAAAAAATTAAATTAATTGACTAACAAAATTGGAGCCATTCCCCTAATTTTAACCACTAACAGCATAAAGAATTGAAAATTACAATTAACCATTATGCACTTGATAATCACAAATGAGATCATAAGGTCCAAAAAATTAACCGCTCAACTCCAAACTATGAAATACCAAATTAAACACAGAAATATCACAACCCCAAACCCAAACAGAACCCCAAATCAATTAAAAAAAAAGCCCCAACCCATATTAAAAAAAATGCTCCAACCCGTGTCTCTCTCATTTTTCCCTTCCCTTGCTCTATACTCTTTGCCAGGAAAATCCTAACAGAGGACCACAACTGTTCCAAAGGAAAATCATTAGAGTTTGATCCAAATTAACCACTCAAATCTCAGTAAATAAAACTGAGCAATTGCCAAACTTGAGTCTGTTTTCTAATCTGTTACAAAAGATTGTAACCACATTTTAATCCAACATTCACCAATGGGCAGCCAAACAGGAAAAAAAACAAAAACACAAAAAGCACAACGAATAAATCAACCCTCAGAAAGTTTTTTGGTAGATAGACTAAATTAATATTGGATTTTACTTTAATTTGGTCGCTGGAATAATTAACCTGGATGACATGGGATACAAAACCTACTATCAAGAGATGCTACCTTTTTTATTTTGTCTTTATACCGATCAGCAACAGCGTTTAAATATTTTTAGTTAGTCAGTGAAGGCGAATTTTTTCAAAAACCTGGAATCATGACAAAAAAAAATTTAATATCACAAAGATGGAAAAAATTGCAGCCTTAAATAACACGAAGAGAATCACCACACGGAGATAAGATTGATTAACAAAGATACATTTGTCTACCGAAGTCCAATAAAATACATCCAGAAAAGGATTCCTATGATTGTATAGGATTCAAACCACACCGTGGCATGTATCAGATCAAAGGAAGAGACATAAAAGCTCTAAGGGAGATGTAAAATACATGCATGTTTATGGAATTCGAAGAGAAAAACCATATACCTCAATTTTTTCAGATGATCAGTCACCCTCCCCCGATTAGAAACAAAACCCCCAAAATCACAAAAACGAAATTCAAACACAAAACCTATTTTTAAAACATGATATGCAAAACACTAAATTACCACCCAAATCGGGCGAAGAACTCACAGAAGACCACGAAGCAGATTTTGACATGTAATAGGTGTAGAAGGTACCTGCGGTGATGAGGAATAGATGATGATGATCTGGGTTTTTTCAATTGGACAGATCTGGAGCAAAGTTGCTGGTGAAGAAATCACGGAGAAAGCACAGAGGAAGAGATGACGAAGCAAAGATTGAAGAGCGCGAAGCGGAGATCGAAGAGAGATGGGGAAGCTGAGTGAGGGTTCTGAAGAAAACGAAGCAGAAGGGTCCAGAAAAGAAGAAAAAAGACAGGAAGCGCGTGACTGGTCCAAACGAAATAAACAAAGCAAGCAGGGTTAAAATCGGTATCACACTGCTCTATGAACAGTGTTTCAGTTCATTTCCTCTTTTAGTATATACTAGCTAGTAATGCCCGTGCGTTGCTGCGGGATTACAAATTGATCTTATAGCAGTGTATAAATTTGAGTTAGTATCAGTGTAACATTAATTAATCTAAACAAAATTACCATAGTGAAGGAAAAAAATTTATTTGCTATAGAAAAATTATAGTTTTGATACCTTACAAAGGTAATTTGTTTTAAAAGATTGAAAGCCAGCGGTTTTCAATCTTGAAATTCCACAGCATCCTTTGACTTTGAAAAATAGCGACCATCATCGGATAGAACTATTGTACCACCTACAGGAAAGAAAAAACAATGAGTTACTGAGATATTCTGATACACAAAAAGAAAACACTTGACACTAAATGAACAAAATATTCAAACATGGAAAGCACATCATGAGGGATAATCTATCATTTTTGGCCAAGTGAGGAATGATATCTTGAGTACCGAGAGAGAAAAAAGTAGTTCTACATTATTTTATGATACCTGTTGGGTTAGTCTTGTATTTCACTTTATTTATAAAATCAACTACTGATATGGTTACAACCTTGACAACATCACCCCTAGTATTGGATGTCCATCTAATTTATCTTAAATTTCTTCTTCAATCTTGGATATACATAATGTTTCAGTTTATGTTTTACCACACAAAAAAATTGTGAGACTAAATGGGTTTTATAAATAGATGATAAAACTGCATCTCAGTAGAATCTAAGGCAATGAAAATTGAATATTATTTACCATCAACTGACATGCAAATTTAAATGCAATAATCACATCTGTCTGAGAAGTGTATTTCAGCTTAGAAAACATGTATGCTGTGTGTGTGTGAGAGAGAGAGAGAGAGAGAGAGAGAGAGAGAGAGATGTACCTTCTTGTGGAAAGCAAATGTTCAGGGCTGGACAAAAAGCTTTCGAGATATGTACTTGAGTTTTCTGGTGAAGTTCACACATTCAGTATTGAAATTCATATATTCATATATATATATATATATATATATATATATATAACAGAGTAAAAGAATTCTAAGATAAAAAAATAATGATTAACTTAAAATGATCACACAGCTTCCCAATAGTCATTGTTCTAGGCTTTCCCAATTTGCTGAAAAGCAAAGTTTTTTGCTCGGTTGAGTGTTTGTGAATCACGCATAGTACTAATTAATTCTTCAAAGCATGAATATCCCCAATGTTCCTTCAGTTTAGTATAGAACTGCCCAAGGTAATTGTAAACGTTACTTCGATAACAGAGTTAGTGTTGTAGGACTCAGCATAAGGAAAAATCAGAAAGATGCAAATGCAGAAAACTAAATTAGCACCTATAAACACATGGAACCTCACTTTCTCACAGTGGCTTAAATCTGTCCTCCACCATTTAAGTAACCTGTTTAATTCCAGTTAATATTACTTCCAAAATCCCAAACCCACATGATGGATAATTCAACATATCAAACCACATATTTATTTTTTGAAGCATTAATAAGTAGAAAAATTTACAACCACCAAAATCAAATCAGGATTGAGAACCTGGAATTTATTATAGAATTAGGGATCCATTAATACAACCATGCCTCAGTCCAAAACTAATTTTTTTTATTTGGCCTAAAATAGAAAAAAAAACCCAAAACTTTAAATTCAAATATTAGACAAATATATTTGAAAAGGATAAAGATTTTAGAGACAAAGTGAGGACAGAGAGATGGGGGAGCACCTTGGGCAAGGAGGTGGTTGACAGATTTGTTGGAGGAGTCAGTCTAATTTTTCACAATCTCCTTCAAGCTTGCACCAACAATTAAAAACAGACAAACACAACATGATTGCAGAACGTAATTAGAAACGATCTAATTTTGGGAAAACCTGAGGCTCGAACGCACGTCCAATGACAATTACTGCTTGAGTTTAGTAACATTAGTTAAATACAATACAATGTTTGCTTGTATAATCATGTTTAGTGATGCATTGGAATGCTCTCGAGGAAACAACTAAAGAAAATACATAACTTAGTATTCGATAATGCACATTATAACTCATTTTTATGCAGAAATTAAGGTCCCATTTGATAACCATTCTGTTTTTGTCAACTTAAGTTTACTTCTCAAAATGTAACAGAATGCAAGGTTCTCAACTCAAACACACTTAAGTTGACATCTGCAGGTGTAAGAGTAGCACTATAATGTAACAAAAGACTTAACACTACTCAAAAGATTGCTGTTGAAGAATCCATGTTGTAATTAGCACTAATCACGACACGAATACACTAAAGTCGAAACTTAAGTAAAAAACTATGGAAAACAGATGCATAATGACAGGGAGACATGAACCTTAAAAGCAATCAATACCTTTAACTCTTTGTTCATAAGCAGCTTGGTAACGCATCATTAAAGCTGCAGCCTCTCCGTTTAAAGCGTCAGAAGGATTGGGATACAGCAGAAGTTGTGGCAACAACACTTCAAATACGTTTGCAAGATCTGGAAACACAGGCAGATGTAAGAGAATAAAACTTGGATTTCGGTACTTTCCCCATGCTTATAAGAGAATTTATTGTAAGTTTGGTCTTACAGGGTACAAATAATGATAAACCGACTATAATCCTACCTGCACAAATACAGTTCTGTTCCAACACGGTTTCCTCAGAGGATGCGGCTGCTGCAGATCAAGTTCAATCTTGATTCTGTTTTGTATTTAGTTCACATGCTGCTATTTATTTGTAATCCTACTTCTACACGTATATCAATTGTAATTAGTGCAATGACCAAACAACAAATTCCATTAAAAAAAAAAAAAACTAACCAAAAAAATCAAATCATAAATCTCAGAAAGCCCAATGCACAAAATTGCAGAAATAGGGAAGGAATCATAATCAAAACAAATGATACAAACACACACAGAGAAAATATATACTTTTATGTACTTAGCTACTATAAACCGCTCATTCAATTGCCTCATTCCCTTTTCCCCTACTAAATAAAAAAGGGGATATCCCAGAATTTAAATTCACGCTAAACCCATTCCCTTAGGCCCCGTTTGGCAGCTCGGACTGTACTGACTATTAATTGTAGGCAACCCAGAAACAAAAAAAATGAAAAACTTATCTCAGTATCCAAACAGCTCAAAACCCAGAACCAAAAGAAAAAAACATAATACCTTTGCGGGTTTGGAGCTCTTTTCTTATAATTGTTACAGTATTGGTGTTGCGGCTCAATTCGTTGTGTTTCCGTCCGTATCAATCGAAGGTGGGGGCAGCTGGTTTGGGTGAAGAAGAAGAGGAGGATCCGAGCCTACAAACAGAATCACAAAAAGCAAACATAAACATAAAACCCATCTGCAAATCTAAAACCCCAAAAAAAAAATTAAAGCACCCACACTGAGAAAGCTGTCAAACTCACCAGGAAACGCCAACGTTTCTGGGTAAAAAATTGAATCGGATCTAATTGCACCGTTGTGGATAATTCCTCAGATAAAGATGGAAGGTTGGAGGGCGAGAAAAATCGCCATTTTGGAGACAGAAAGCTAGAGTTGAGAATGGCGAGAGAGAGAGAAGCGAAAGCAAAGAAAAGTCGAAAGCAGGTCCAGCGATGATCGACGCGTGGGAAAATGGAAACGGAAGGGAAAAAGGGAGAAGAAAAGTGGAGGAGCAGGCGTTGCACAGCGATGGTCGACACGTGCATCCAATGGGCAAAAACGTAATCTCACTGTTCAAAGCAGGTCACAAAGGAGGAAACCAAGAAGAAATCCAGGGGTAAAACTGTCATCACACTGGTCATCCACAGTGATCAGGGGGTTTGAGTTTTAGTATATATGATGATATAATTTGTTATTTGCTTAACTACTCAAACTCTCAGTTGTGGCCTTGAAGAAGGTCACTATATCTTCTTGTTGTGGTACCAATATTTGATAATATTTGGTTGCAAGGGTACCGAGATCAGTTACTGATGCACCTCCAACTCAAATTACACGGTAAAATAAAAACAGTAAAAAATATAGGCACTGTCACTAATTTCTGATGAAAAATTAGCGGCACCTAAAGCATATGAATTTCTTGGAAGAGAAGCAAGTATATGGACTACTTCAAAAACTTCGAGTTAAGTAACACATATAAAATATCATAATTAGTAACTCCAAAGAAATGCAACCATAGGGTGGGTGGAAGCAAATTTAACAGTGCATGATAACATGGTTTAGCTGACTAGCTACACTATTTGAGAATTTCCATGGACGGTGACCTCGGCCTCTACCAAGCAAGTATCCTTTACAAAATCGCCCTTGCCGGCCTTACTGAAAGTGTCCAGTGCAATGAAGTGAGACCAACCCCAACTCGGACTCGAGGCATCAAACCATTGATTAGTAGCTACAGGAAGAGAATATAATTATTTCACTTATATACATATACACACACACACACAAAATGTATACCTTCATGAATAAGAGCGCATTGTATATATATTATTAGAATGTGCGCGTCCAATCTAATACCAATCAATTAGCAATAGCATGCAGAGACTTGAGATTATTTAAAATATTTAGGCAAAACTTCCTTTCTCGATGTGGAATATCTAAACGTAGTTAATTATATACCCACAAAATAGTTCAACCTTTATTTACGTGTAGTACCTTTCTGACAATGATTAGTCTTGCGATTCATTCGATAGACAATGCGCAGGGAAAACTCCACACACGTTTTGGAACGAGGAGGGAGGGTTTCCGGATCAGCCAATGCTAAGAAAAGAGAAATATGAGTACCTTTTCCGTTCGAGTCTCCCTTAGGATGGAGCACTATCTTCCTGTAACCACAAATAGTAAGTGAAATTTAAGGACAATGCCTCATTTATAAGTTGATTTGATCTTCAAGAGCAATGCTTCATTTTGAGCACTTAATCTGCTAGACTATATTTCAAATTGCATAGTGAAATTGGCTAAAACAAAAATTATTGATGTTGGTGATGGCCCATGCTTGGTCATGTTGGTGGAGCAATATTTAATACTAAAAATATTGAGTCTCACATCATATAGTATTACAAAATAATATACCGTTTATAAGTGGGAGGTGCACTACTAATGTCATTGGGATAATTTGATAAATGTCACATCTAATAGATAATTAAGTTATTGACAATATAGTGATGTCAGTGGGTGGGTAGTGGTGATGTTGGGTCAAAAAGGTTGACCATGATGGGCACAAGGGTATTAAACGAATGACTAAGCCTTTGAAATGTGAGTTGGCTCTAGTGAATGAATAATCAATGGGCTCTTGAAAATATGTGTGAGCTCAAACATAATGAAATTGACCAGTTTTTATATGAGAATTGGTTTCCGGTGTGAAAATGTGTGGATCTCTCGTGATGAGGCACGTTAGAAAATGTAGTCCGACGCTGGAAATATAACAAAATAATATACATTATATGTGTAACAAACAATAAACAGTTTATATGCTAGAGATCCCTACTAGTATTATAAGGGATATTATATTCACACACCCCAAATTACTTCTCCCACATCCTTTTAATTTTTTAATATTTTTCTATTAAGTGTTAGTAATGTGTAGAAAATTTAAAAAAGTAAAAAGGTGTGGGAGAATTAATTTGGGGTGTGTGAATATAATCTCTCCTATTATAATTGTGTTGGCAATAAGCCATTCTAGGACTAATTAATTTCTTTCCAATTTTCATGCAGTTAAGTTAGAGAGATGCACGTACCATTTCTTGTTTCCAACAGTGAATGGTTCCGAGTCAAGTATGGCATCTAACTTTGAAAAGTTCTCAACGTTCCAAACATGCTTGTACGTAAAAGAATAATAGCTCATTGATAGAAACTCTGCCTTGGCTGCTCTTTTTTCTTTACAAACGAAGACCTCAGCTCCAACCACGCAGTCGTCATTTACCAGATAGCCATTGGAAGCATCAGTAAATTCTTTCAGTGAGATGAGTTTATCAATACCGGCATCAAGCATCGCCCCATGAAAGCACTTTTGCTTTATATTACGATCTAAATGCACCAAGAAAATAAATATTAATAAGAAAGACCATAAAAATGATGAGTAATGTCAAAAGGCACATGAAGGAAATTGAGATTCTCTCGTGTGTGATCATTCAAGAATAACACTTTGGGTACATATATTGGGTGATGTGGGAGCATGTGTTGGGCTCAACACATTTGTACATTTGTTCTGATGTATTATGAATGAAGTTGATATTTTACCATAAAATCAATTAGCAATATGTATGAGGATAACCCAATTCCCTCAAGCTATGTTAGGGTAAGCGGTTTTAATTCAAGTCTACAATGTTACTTAGATGGGATAAGGAATGTCTTATATGAGTTGAACAAATTAAAGCATGTGAGAGGAATTTGAAACTAACACCTTCTAAGTAAGTAATGATTTGCAAATCCCTCTCACAAACCTTTGTAATACTCATGGAAGGCATTTATAATAGCTCTATCTATATTTTATGGTGCATTATTCGTGGTTTCCTGATGGTATTAGAACGTCTAACCCAAAATTAGATAGTGATGATTGGAGAAATAAAATTTTATGCGTACGAGGATTACCACACAAGTCACATATCCCACATCAACCGTATCTTTAAGAAAAGAGAAGAGTTTAAATACCCTAACCTCAGACCTTTTGTGATAAAAGATCACACCCGACGGATTGTGCAGGTGGTAATTATCAAGTTGAGTACAATATCGATGTTGTTGGAAATATCGGTATTGTTGGAAGTGGCCGGTTTCTCTTATAATTTTACATATTATGTAACCGCTTATTCTGATTAGTGAAGTTCGGGACATTATGGTAGCATATGCAATTACTTTCTCGAGGTGGGAGAAAAAAGAGGTTCGAGCCATTGCCAATCAATATACATGGTTTGCTTTGCTATGAATCTGTGGAGTGCTTTTACTATGGACCTGTAGAAATTTTTACCATAAATTCATGTGCTTATCCAGAAAGTATTTTTTAAGACTAAAAAACGCATTAAAGTTTTATGCAAAACATAATCAAAAGCGCTTTATTATTAGGAAAAACTTTTAGCCATTCCGAAACAAATTCAAACAGACCCTTAATCATCAGATATGAGAATGGGGATTACCATTTGTATCCTCCAGCTTCAAATTCCGTTGATTGATGTCCATGTGCTGAATGTTTCTTTAGCACTGAAAACGACTTTATTTTTTTAATGTAATGAGCTGGAGGTGAATCTGAATATGATCTGGAAACCCCTGTAACAAAATAATATGCATGGAAACACAAGAATAACGTAAATATACTGATATATATATATATATATATATATATATATATATATATATATGCACACAGATATGCAGAGAGAATCTTACCATGGTTCAAACTGTGCGTGATAAAATTGAACAAATCCATTTTTTAATAGTAGATAATCGGGTGCGAGTAGCAAATTGACTATTGAATTAATTTTTGTACAAAGTTTACAATATATATATATATAGGGTTAAACGTAACCCAACTGTAGCAGGAATCCTAAAATACTTACAATTCTAAATTACTTGATATACAAGGAAACCGTAATTAAGGAGTAGAATCCCAAGATGATGATTCTACTATAACAAAAAAAATGGGAGTGTTTATCTGTTTCTCAAGAAAAAGGTTTTATACTCCAACGTCCTTTGATGTCAAATATTGGATCCGGTCAAGAAAGAAACCGAAAAAACAGAGATTAAGAGAATGATCAAGTTATAAGTGTGGAGCTATTTATATACACTATTAGTACGTATTAGGTCAAATGTTCTTTTAGTTTCTTCCGCTAGCTAGTTGATATGATTCCTGATTTTGTTAGGCATTTGAATATGAATTTGAAGACATTCGTTTTCTAAGGATTCGTTTTCTAAGGATCCCCATCTTTTAAGAAATGCGGACTACTTATAGGGCCTACTTCGTATTTGTTTTATTTACCAATCCGAAACCATTTATCCGTTTGGTCCAGTAGTACAAGTTGTTGTTTCTCACTCTAAGGTCTTAAGTTCAAATCACATTGAAGACATTTTGAAATCATTTTTTCTATGTTGTCGAAAAAGTTGGTCAGCCGGTCACCGAAAAAGTTGGTGCCTGTCGCAGGAAATTGATCGGCCGTAGATAATGTCGGCGAAAAGTTAACTAATAACAACAACAACAAAGCCTTTTCCCACTAAGTGGGGTCGGTTATATGAATCCTAGAAAGCCATTGCGCTCGGTTTTGTGTCATGTCCTCCGTTAGATCCAAGTACTCTAAGTCTTTTCTTAGGATCTCTTCCAAAGTTTTCCTAGGTCTTCCTCTATCCCTTCGGCCCTGAACCTCTATCCCGTAGTCACATCTTCGAACCAGAGCGTCAGTAGGCCTTCTTTGCACATGTCCAAACCCATTTTGTGTACGTGTTGATGCTTCACCGCCCAACATTCTGTGCCATACAGCATCGCCGGCCTTATTGTCGTCCTATAAAATTTTCCCTTGAGCTTCAGTGGCCTACGACGGTCACACAACACGCCGGATGCATTCTTCCACTTCATCCATCCAGCTTGTATTCTATGGTTGAGATCTCCATCTAATTCTCCATTCTTTTGCAAGATAGATCCTATGTAGCGAAAACGGTCGCTCTTTGATATTTCCTGATCTCCGATCCTCACCCCTAACTCATTTTGGCCTCCGTTTGCACTGAACTTGCACTCCATATATTCTGTCTTGATCGGCTTAGGCGAAGACCTTTAGATTCCAACACTTCTCTCCAAAGGTTAAGCTTCGCATTTACCCCTCCTGAGTTTCATCTATCAACACTATATCGTTTGCGAAAAGTATACACCAAGGAATATCATCTTGAATATGTCCTGTTAACTCATCCATTACCAACGCAAAAAGGTAAGGACTTAAGGATTGTTGATGCACAAATCAGTGAGGACTTTGGTATAACAAAAAGTATTAAGTTTGTGATCTTCGCTAGATTGCTCTGGTCATTAGTGTGGATAAGTATGTAAATGGATAGAGACAAGAAAGTAAACACAAGATGTACGTGGTTCACTCAGATTGGCTACGTCCACGGAGTAGAGGAGTTCTCATTAATTGTGAAAGGTTTACACAAGTACATAGGTTCAAGCTCTCCTTTAGTGAGTACAAGTGAATGATTTAGTACAAATGACATTAGGAAATATTGTGGGAGAATGATCTCATAATCACGAAACTTCTAATACCGAAGTGTGGTATCGTCTTCACTTGCCTTATCTGTCTCATAGGTAGATGTGGCATCTTCTCTGGAAGTACTTTTCCTCCATCCAGGGGTGGTATCTTTAACTGGTGGAGATGCACAAGGTAATGTATCAATTTCACATGAAGCTTACTTGTAGTTTCAGGCTTGGTCAAACGCGATACAAACCATGTAGTAGGAGTCCCCCAAGTCGCCGAGCTAGGGGATCTGCTGAAAGAGGTGACAGACAAGGTAAGCAATCAAAGTTCCAAGCAATCAGTCCCAGGTCAGAAGTTTGATTTCGAGTTCCGGCTGATTGTTCTCATTCTCCCTATCTTGCAGGCAACATGAAGGATAAAGAGAAGAAAATGGAGAATAGATGATATGAGATACTTTTGCTTTTGACGGAGTAACTTTCCACAGGCTTATTCTTGTACTGGGCTGGAGGGTTTTCGGGTTTCCTCTAGAGTATAAGGCCGACTGAAGAATTTAAGGGTCAAAACAAGTCCATCAAATCTAGAGTACGTTCGATCCTGCTGATATGAGATACTTTTTCTGTTGACAAAGTAGTGGATGTATCGGCACATGTTCTGTTACGCTTGTTTCCACATGCTTCCTTGTATCATTCTCACTTTCCCTATCTGTTCCTCAGGCAGACGTGTTATTTTCTCTGGAAGCATAAGATGTTGAAGATATGTACTCGAGAGCAATGCCAGGTAAGTAATCAGGTAAAGGGTTCTAGGCAGTAAGTTCTTGACTGGAAACTTGATTTCAAGTGCTGACTGATTGCTCTCTTTCCTTGTCTTGCAGGTAAGAACAAGGCCAAAGGAAAAGATAGGGAAAAAGCATGATATGGGATACTCTTGCTTTGAACCCTGATGATATGAGATATTCTTGCTCTGGTGTAGCTTGTTTACAGAGGTATTATCGGGGGGAAAGAAAGCTGAGTATTTCGAGAGGCTTCGTTGGGAATGCCCTCTCAGATATGATGAAGGGTTAAGCATTTTTGCAGGTCTGTCTGTTCGTTGAGGATGGAGGTTGACATATATAAGAGTCTCCCTAACAACAAGTAGTAATGCTATTCATTTACCCTGCTTGGTCATAGCACGGTAGTGGGAGCTGCCAGCTTCATGTGTGTTAGAGCATTTTGAAAAAGTGGTATGTGGTATCTGAGAAGCTAATGTTGCTTGTGAAGATTACAAACAAGTTTTATCCAAAGAGATCTAGCTCTCGAAGTTGAGAAAACGGTGCCTCTTCGGTTTTCAAACAAGCAATCTTGTCAGGGATCTGGCTCTCAAGATTCGGAGAACGGTGCATCTTCGATTTTTTAGAAATCAATCCTACTGGGAGTCTGGCTCTCGAGTTTCGGAGAGCGGTGTCTCTTCGATTTTTGAGAAAGTAATCATGTTGGGAGTCTGGCTCCCTAGATTCGGAGGAGCAAGCAATCTTGTTGGGAGTGTTTTCTCAAATGTGAGTAAAGGTTGGGCATGTTTGCTAGTCTACCTTGCCACAGAGCACAGAGGTTGACACACAGGGACTTTCCAATTATCCAGCAGTGGTGCTGTTCCTTTACCCTTGTGGGTAATAATATGGTAACTAGACCTTCAAAATTTATGTGTCTAAACTTTGTTAGTGCTGTTTCTTTGCTATTTTTTTACCCTTCTTGGTCATAGCGATGTAGTGGGAGCTGCAAGCTTCACGTGTCTAAACTTTGTCAGAGATCTTTGGCAAAGTTATTTGTGGTACCCATGAGCTGATGGTGTTTGTGGAAAATGGATGATTGAATAGTAAGATTCACGTGCTTTCTACTTCACAAAAAATCTTCAACAGAATGCCTTTAATTTCAGCAAAACTGAGTGTGCATGTGACAGGTGCTGACAAGGCTGAAAAAACAGGTGCCTCTTCGATTTCTAAGATTGGCCCTCGTGGTCTCTGAGCAGCCCAGCTTTTGAGAAAGCAAGCGCCTTTTCGATTTCTGAGATCAGTCTTCGTGGTCTTTAAGCAACCTAGCTTTTGGGAAAGCAAACGTCTCTTCGATTTCTGAGATTGGCCCTCGTGGTCTCTGAATAGCCCAGCTTTTGAGAAAGCAAACGCCTCTTCAATTTCTGGGCAGGCGCCTCTTCGATTTCTGAAGCTCCGTCGAGTGCAGATTTTTATAGAGGCTGACATTAAGTTCCAAAACACACTTGAATCTCCACCAGTAGAAGCTCCCTTCTTGCACTTCTAAGATTTTGATTTGTCTGACCTCTTCTCTCTTCAACACCTTTGAAAATATCTGGCCCCTCCGACCGTCGTTTTGACTTGAACCTTGTTGAAGAGGTAGCCACGCCTTCTCCAGACAACATATGGCGCCCATCCTTCTTATCCCCTACTGATCCTCTTACTGTTGGGGATTCCGTGATGAAGAATGATATGACCGCTGCGGTGGTGGCCAGGAACCTTCTCACTCCCAAAGATAACAAACTACTTTCCAAACGGTTTGATGAGTTGGCTGTTAAGGATTCTCTGGCTCTGAGTGTTCAGTGTGCAGGTTTTGTGTCTAATATGGCCCAACACCTATTTGCTCGAACCCACCAAGTTGAATCATTGGCGGCTGAAGTGATGAGTCTCAAACAGGAGATTAGAGGGCTCTAGCATGAGAATAAACAGTTGCACCGGCTCGCACATGACTATGCTACAAACATGAAGAGGAAGCTTGACCAGATGAAGGAATTTGATGGTCAGGTTTTACTTGATCATCAGCGGTTTGTGGGTTTGTTCCAAAGGCATTTATTGCCTTCGTCTTCTGGGGCTGTACCGCGTAATGAAGCTCCAAATGATCAACCTCCGATGCCTCATCCTTCTAGGAATCTGTCCAGTACTGAGGCTCCGAATGATCCCCCTCCGGTGCCTTCTCTTTCTAGGGCTTACCGACTGCTGAGACTTCTCCTAAGCAACCTTTTTGAAGGCTCCCTCTTGTTTGTTTATTTTGACTCATGTATATGTACATATTTGTAACTTATCAGAGATATCAATAAATAAGCTTTGCTTCATTTCAACGTATTGTGTTAAATACACCAAAGCCTTCTTCACTGAGTGGGGTCAGCTATATGAATCTTAGAACGCCATTGTGCTCGGTCCTGTGTCATGTCCTCCGTTCGATCCAAGTACTCTAAGTCTTTTCTTAGAGTCTCTTCCAAAGTTTTCCTTGGTCTTCCTCTACCTCTTCAGCCATGAACCTCTGTCCCGTAGTCGCATCTTCTAACCGGAGCGTTAGTAGGCCTTCTTTGCACATGTCCAAACCACCGTAACCGATTTTCTCTCAGCTTTCCTACAATTTCGGCTACTCTTACTTTACCTCGGATATCCTCATTCCTAATCTTATCATTTCTCGTGTGCCCACACATCCAACGAAGCATCCTCATCTCTGCTACACTCATTTTGTGTACGTGTTGATGCTTCACCGCCCAACATTCTGTGTCATACAGCATCGCCGACCTTATTGCCGTCCTATAAAATTTTCCCTTGAGCTTCAGTGGTATACGACGGTCACACAACATGCCGGATGCACTCTTCCACTTCATCCATCCAACTTGTATTCTATGGTTGAGATCACCATCTAATTCTCCGTTCTTTTGCAAGATAGATCCTAAGTAGCGAAAACGATCGCTCTTTGGTATTTCCTGATCTCCGATCCTCACTCCTAAGTCATTTTGGTAGAAAAAAAATGATCAATAACCCAAAAAGTCATCGAAAAGTTGACCGGCGGACCAAAAATGTCATCGAAAAATTGGTTGTGGCCGAAAAAATTAGCCAGAAAGTTAGCTGGTCGGCCACTGCTAACCCAAAAAGTTTGTGGGTTTGAGCAGTAATCATGTAATTATATAGTGCTATTCAAAAAATAATTTTGGTTAACTTTTTCATTAGTACCTAAACTAAAGATATGATATTTTTCCTAAATTTTTTACTTAGAAATGGTATTGAAACAAAAAAGCCCAAAAAAAATTGTGTCCAAGTTGTAAGGAAATAAGAAACTTATTTATTTCAATCCCGACTAATGATAGGATTAATGGCATGTTTAATTACTTGTTATGAGTATGGGATGGAATAAGAAAGAACGAATGTTGATGAGAAAGAATGGGAATGGGATAAACACCCACCACCCCGTGATTATCCCATACCTTAATTTTTCAGGTATGTCGTACCAAAATCAACAAGATATCCACTTATTTATTCATTCCCTATGTTAGTAAGTGCTTGGTCACTTAGTACTACGATGTAATATTCATCTTCACTTATAAGTGAGAGATCTTAGGTCCAATTTTCGCCAAAAACGAATTTGAACCACATAAACTCTTTCCTTCCAATTCCACTCCTCTTTGTAAACCATGTGAGAATGATACTCATTCCTTGCAAGTGAACCATAGCCTGATGCATGTTTAATAACACCATAGTCCGCGAAAAGTGTCAACTTTACGACTAGTAAACATTCCTCATATCCAGCAGAATCAAAAAGCCCCAGCTACGACTAGAATCCTTCGGACTTTGGCCTTGTGTACCCAAGATTGATTAGCTTCTGAACCAACAATTTTTCAGCATCTGCCTGAAATCACAAGAACAAGGGGCAAATGATTCAGTGAAAATAGCTAACAAAACGTGCAAACACAGACGAATCCATTCCTGCATATATGCAAACGACAAAGAAACAGACATCTGATAGTCTCGTGTTCATGTGTGTATTGTTTCTCTGTGTTCGACACAGAGAGGGTACAAACCTCAAGCATGGGACTATTCTTCGGAATGTTGCAAGGCAGAATTATACACTGAAAATAACCGCATGTCAGACCATGGAGTAGGCGGGGAAAAAAAGATGATGACAAACCCAAATTATCCAAACAAAAATTGATAACCTACCTAATCTTCGAGCAATGCCCGACCCTGTATTATCAGAAGCCCCACCGAGTATGGATGTAACACCCACTGTACTGTTCTGTAATCCATCAACGGTAACGATTGCAGTTAACTAAATTTAATCCCAAGCAGCACAAAGAGGTCCGAATTCACAAGTGTAAAGAGAGATCATTTTGGAATAACTTTAACACCAAATTACCAACTTACAGGTCTCATAGGTGCTGCTGCATACAAATGCCCAAATTTTGTAGAGTTGCAACCAATCCATGCATATATCTACACTCATAATAATCAGAAATTTTTACCCAATTCAGATTTTGTTCAAAGTTTCAAACTTCTAAGAATGAATTAACAACAGATGCAAATAATCGCCTACTTTTTCTAAGCAGAATGAAAGATCCAATTTTTGCAGAGTTGCAAATCATTCCATGCTTACACTCACAGTACCCAGTGCACAAGGCTTCCGCTTTACGTAGGGTCTGGGAAAGGTGAATGTCGGCTAGCCTTACCCCTATTTATGGAGAGGCTGCTTCCAAGTTTCGAACCCGAGACCTACCGCTCATGGGTGAAGGCACTTGCCATCGCACCAAGTGCGACCTCTATGCTTACACTCACAGTAATGAAAAGAAAAAACTACCCAATTCAGACTTTGACCAAAGTTTTAAACTTGCCCACAAATAATGCCTAGATTTTCCAAGAAAAAAAAAACAATTACCCCAATTTTGCAGGGTTGCAATCAATCCTTGCATATAACCACTCAAATTAATGAGAAAGTTGTACCCAATTAAGAATTTGTTCAAAATTTCTAACCAACAAATTTAACGAATTTTGTTGCCCGAATTTTGACTTGGGCAGTTCAATTTAGCATTAAATTGAACAAAAAATTCTAGAGGAAATTGAACAAAAAAGGGGAGAGATGAGGATGGAAGACGAACCTGCTTGGGAAGGCGGATGATTTGGAGGTGGAAGGTGGTTTCGTTGACGACCTCACTGAAGCACGTGACTTGCACGCCACCGGCATCGTCGTTGTCGTCGTTGTCGATGTAGCTCAGACCAGTCGATTCTTTGTGTTCGGAAATTTGAGCGGAGCTAAACGCACTGTTTGGAGCGCCGATGTCTAAACTACCATGCGCCATTGCTCACGGAAACGAGCACAGTGAGACTGGGAGAGTCACAAGGCGGTTATAGACGGGCTAAGCCGGTTTTCACTTTTTTCATTTGAGGGTAAAAGTGGTTAATCCTCATATTTTATATATATGTGTTCAGTTCTCTCTCTCTCTCTCTCTCTCTCTCTCTCTCTCTGAGTCGTTCTCTCTTCTGAGAGTTTTTCTCACCTCTCTGTGTGAGTTTTTTCGTCGTCAATTTTTCTCCTTAGCCATCAGCCCGAGCTCCGACAAGGGTCGTTGTCTATCCTCTGTTGTCCTTCCTTGTTCTTCTTCCTCCCTTCTTCCGTTTCTATCTACCCTCACCTTAGTTTTCCTTCCACTTCCATGTCTCTCATTTATCCCTCTTTCTCTGTTTTCCCAATTCCTTCCCGTCCCAATTTGGGTGGGTTCCATCCTTCCTTGTTGCTTTTTCTTTCCCGATTTGCAACCTCTTTTCTTCCCAGCACTCGGTTGTGTTTTCTTTGGAAGGTGCGCAGAGTTTTTACTCGGGTGTACACACCTTTGTTTGCCTTTATTGGCATTGTCGTCGGTGGATTCTAGTTGTGATCGGCACGGGGGTTGTTGCAGGTTGTTGGAGTCACCAGATTCTTTGTTTCTGGGCGGTGGCTGCTTGATGACGGTTCGGGGCATGGGTTTGCGCTGGCGTGGATGCTCTGCGGTGTTGGAGCACTAGTTTTCTTAAAGGAAAACTAATGAAAAGGGCTTGAAAACTTTGAGTTTTAATGATAAGGACAAAATAAAGGGTAGAGTGAATAGTACCAGGATTGACTTTTTAGTGTAAAAATGTGGTTTTTCGTTAAAGTGAACAGTACCGGGTGCTTTTCGTTAAAGTTCCCTTTTCTTAATGCATGGGGCTTTGGTTGGTCGGAGTGCTGGACGGATTGTGATGGGGGCTCTCGACTTTTTCCACAACGGAGGGGATTGCAAGGTTCTAGGGAGTTCTATAGCTTTGTCTGTGTTTGTATTGGGCTCTTTTGGTGTGTACTGTTCAGGTCCACTGTTTTGTTTTGTACTTATGTAGTTTGTGGACCTCTCTGTGTCTTTGTTTGGCCTTGGGCCCTGAAATACAATGTCCAGTTTTTCAAAAAAAGAAAAAAAAACTTGTAATGCAACTTCGTCATTTGATTCTTTACTTTTATTTATCCAACACAAAGGTGAGAGAAAAATGAGGATGTAAAAATTAATTCCGTAAAGTAATAAACATGAAAAAGTTAAAATACATTCATTCATAACTGAATGATGACATTTCAAAAAACGTTTGATTTTTTAATTTTTATTGAACGATAACAAGTCTTAAACTCGAACATCTTAGATTCAAATTAATAAACACATGGATCCTAGATTTTCTCTTAGCCCAATCCACCCCCTTCCCTCATAGTAGACTATCACCCTCCCCTTACATGTAGAATATCGTTGTTTAAAAATAAAAATTACTCACTTCCTCATTCTTTAAAGATTTGTATAATTTTTGTGACAAATATTTTCTTTTGCTTATTCCCTCTTACTTGTTTAAACTTGAAATACTCAAAGGGGCAGAAAACGGAAGGAAAGGAAGGAATGCAACCATTTACTTTCAAAACAAGAACACACTTACCATGGTTCATCACATTAAGTCACAATAGTTGAAAAGATTGCAAAACTGATGAAATTATGCGGTCTCATCTTGCCAAGGTAAACTCACAATTCACACTTTTTGCCTTTTTGGCCAAATCATAATACACACTTCGAGGCTTGAAAACTCATACAAAGAGCCGCGAATAAGAAACTCTTAAGCTTCATCCACGATGCACTCAATTGCTTGCTTGCAAATTTCGGTCATTGTTGCCTCAGGGCCATAAACCTGCATTGAGAAACGATGTCAGGCTTGCAGCCTGTAACTTATAATCTATTTGTGTTTTAGTTCACCCCTTTAACATTCTTCAAGAGTAAAGGCTTGTTAACAACTGATATCAGATGTCAAAACCAGAAAGTCATCGCATACCTCAAGAGGAACTCCGAGTTCTTCCCCCAAAGCACTCATCTTTGCCAAACCAGTTTGATAATTTGGACCGCCTTTTCTCACAAATATATGCATTCTTGCCGCTTTTAGCTTGGATTCCTTTGATGTCGCAAAAGAGAAACGGTTTGAGCATACAAAACAGAATAAACCAACTAGGCCTATCTATCGTATATGATATGAATGTCAAAATGTGGTGGTACCTTCTCCCTTAGGGCTCTAATAATTCCATTGAATGTAGCAGCTACGTCTGTGAAATTAGCTATACCACCTCCAATTATTAGAGCTCTTTTACAACCATCTGGATCAGCTGTGGCACACTGCAATATATGAGAATTTTATTGGCAGTTAGTGTATGCTACATGTAATGGTTGCAACTTGAGTAGTCAGACGAAGTAAATACGAGTGGAAGTGTGTGTGAGCAAGAGAGAAGAAAGTGGTTTTCGTAAGATAAGAAAAGCTTCTTACATTGATCACAACTCTTGCATATTGCAACAGTTGGAGCTCCACTATACTCTGCATAATTTCCAAGTTCTGAAGCATAACCCAAATCTCCAACCTAATTCCCATAAAGATGCCAGAATATTACAACAGGCCATGGTATGAATTTAAAGGTTCCCAACGTTCAAAGAAACGGAGGGGAGAAATATCTATGGGTGCACATTCAATCAGAAACGATGAATTAAAGCCAAAAATGGAGACCCAAAATTTTGAAAGGGCTGCTACAGGGACAGTATTGCTATAGGTTGCAATACATCAGGCTACTCACAGTATCAGCGTAAATTACACTTGCACCCCCTCCAGCTACCATGGTCCAGATGCGTCCTTTTGGGTTCAACACAGTGAATTTTAAGGATGCGCTTGTCTGCAATATATATGTTTAACTTTAGTTTGAACAACTCTTAAAAAGTGCTGATCCTTAAAAGAAAATTGAAATTTATCATAAATTTATTTCCGCACAAGGAACGGTTAGGTTTTTACCTTTTCATCCAGAGAATGAATAAACGTTTCTGTAGGACTTAAGACTCTGCCGAAAGGCAGTGGAAACTCCACACTGCCCCATCTGAATAGTATTACAAATATTGTCAGAAGGAAAAATCAAACCAAAAGTAGTTAACTAGAAACTGGTAGAACTACAGTATGGAAAATCTTCAAGAGAAATATACTTATTGTTCTTGAAGGCAGCAGTGTCATCCAGCTCCCCCCTCATATCTAATGGACAAGGTTCACCGTCAACCAAGGTAAATGGGTTCATTTCCAGGAAACTAAAATCCAAATCTGCAAAAGAAAATCAGGAATGCAAACTTCCTCAGCAACAAGAGCATGTACCTAACTAATCATTACATAGCTAATCACAGTATTACACTGTACTATACGTTTAGTAATCCATATTTGGACATTCGTACCCTGGAATACAGAAAATACGCCCTTTATGAAATCTCCAATTTTGTCTCTGACCTGTAAGCAGCAGAATACATTAAGCATAAAAAGTTGAACACGCAGAACATAGTAGTAATAAAACGATGATGATCAAACGGATTCACAAGAAATATAGCAAAAAAAACTGGTTCCCTTTGCACTAATGGTAGAATTGTTCTCATCAAGTTCAAACTGAAGGGCAGCAACCTCTTCCTGTAAATGAAAATTGTTCTCGCTGACACCATCTCAACGTGTTCGCAGACTGTTTCGGTTTGTTCCTGGTGAGACAACTGTAACAGCTAATCCTCTTGAAAGTGGCTATTAAGTAACCTCACCTCCTCAAGGTCCTTAGCCATTTTGTCCAGCTAAGCTTGCAAAGCCTTCCTCTCAACGTCTTCACTGATCGTCATTATCATGCCCTTGTTTTCTTTGTGTAAATCACCTCATTTCAGAATATGACTTTCACATTTCAGCTCAGATTGGATTTCTAATTTGTCCTTGTTGCATGTCCATGTATCTGCAGCTTTGATGTAACATAATTATTAAATGAACCCGCAACAATCTAGCATCCATTTACTCTTTTTTGAGTATCATCACCTACTTTTAGATCCACATGAATCGCATGGTTTTGTACAACCTCATCACATACCTGAGTGTAAGATGCTATTTCATCTTCAGAGTCACTTCTTATAGACAAGGTTTCAACCTGAAAAGTGGTTGCCAATCATAAATTTGATTCCGAGAAGAAGGCAAAGTGCAACACAACGTGATGTCTATGTAGGTTATAATCTGTCTAGAACTAGTTGCTCTCCAGCTCATTTAAAATGAATAACATGCCGCAGAATTTCTTCTCGCTGCCGTGAGCGAGTCTTTCTGTTTTCTTTTGAGTAAAATGAAGTGTGCAAGAATGGAAGTGGCAAATTTACCAAGCACAAGGTAGAACAGTGAAACACAACGTGATATCATGGCATGGATAGCTTTTGTTTAAATGCACAGAAAATGAACTGGGATATAGCAACGAAGATAAAAAAAAATCATGTAAAATTGAAAATAACTCCAGTATTTAAAGAATGGTCTCCGATGTAAACTAATTGGATACTAGGTTGGAAACAAATTGTTATATCTCACTTACCATTGAATATTTATCTGATTGCCTGAATTCCTCAGTTTCCTTGGAGAAAGAATATCTGACCTGCATATATGCAAAGATTGTCAATCAACTACATATGCAAAGGTTATTAATTACATCGTTTAAACAACAGTTTCTTTCCAACTATTTATAGGCTATCCTCACAGAGCCCGAGGTAGCCTGACTGGAGTTCATATGCTTTTGCAGTTCTAGTTGTATACCTTGGAAAAAAGGTTTCTTCTACCTTATGGCATTGTCGCCTAGGTCATCCTACCTATCTAATAGTCAAAGCAGCTCTTGCTAAATCTCTCATTGATTTCAGTTGTGATTCCCAGTCTCAGATGTGTAGTTCCTGTTTACATGGAAAGTTTACTAAACTTCCATTTCCTACTTTTGCATCAAAGTCTATCATTCCTTTTGAGGTTCTACATACAGATGTATGGGGCCCTGCTCCTTGTTTGTCAATAGAGGGTTATAGGTATTATGTGTCATTTATCGACGAATGTACTCGATACACTTGGATTTTTCCCATCATCAATAAAGTTGCCTTCTTTGGTATCTTTGTGCAGTTTCATACATTTATTTCTACTTCATTTGCTGCACATGTTAAAGTTTTACAAAGTGATGGTGGTGGGGAGTATATAAGCAACATTTTTCAATCTTTTCTTAGAGATAAAGGCATACTACATCAAAAATCTTGTCCTTACACTCCTGAGCAAAACGGGCTAGCTAAACTGAAAAATAGACATATTGTTGAAACAGCTCTAACTTTGCTTCAACAAGCCTCTTTGCCATCTGAATTTTGGTACCATGCTTGACACGCCCCGACCCTGATATTCCCTGAATACCAAAATAGACACGTGCTGGCCGACACCCGAGGATGACGAAAGCCATTAATTGATACAAAAGCTAAGAATAAGAAGTAAATAAGAGTTAGAAATTTAAAATACAATGAATTAAAAATTTTAGGAACGTGCTCAGAGCATACAACTAAACCTAATCACTAAAAAGAATTAAGATAAAATTGAATGAATAAAGAAGTGGGTCCTACATCGAGAGGATTCAAAGATGCTGTTGCGGAAGTGTCTTGACGTCGGGATTAGGAGCCTTGATCCTAAGTCCTTAATGGGGGCGCAAAACAAAGGTGAGTGGACCAAGTTCATATATATATAATAATAATAAAATAGTTATCAAGATACTAACCCTCACAGTTTATATAATGAAAACTACTAGCATAATAAATGATAGGTTTACTGAAAACCTTAGCATGCCATAAACATCTCAAAAGACATATCGCGGAAAAACATCATATAAATCATCACGTAAATTATCTCATAGATCGTCTCGTAAGCGTGGTGTACTACTAGTAAGATCACTGAATAAATATAACTCCCGGCCCAATGCTTACTCCGTGGTCTCTGCGCCCATAGCCAGAGATTACCAACTCCCGGCCCAATGCCTGCTCCGTGTCCCTCAGCCCGTAGCTAGGGATTATTTCTCCCGGCCTAAATGCCAACACCAGATCCTCGCCCCAGGCGGCATAGTGTCCACTAGGTACGCACAAATAGTTACTCCTCTAAAAAATAACCACTTCATAGTATAAAGTCATCCATCGTCTATACTATAAAGAGGGGTTTCAAAAACATGTTCTAGCATCCTATCGTCATCCATCAGATAGTCTACCAGTTCATGGTTTTTATAGAAAATAGGATATATTAAAATATAGCTCAATATAGGCCAACAATTAATTCCTCACCAAAAACACGAGACGAAAATCAACATATTCAATAAACATGCTTAACATAAAATCAAAACCTAAACTCGTAAGGCATGCTATTCATTTATGCAATTAACTATAAAATCATGTAATTTTAGAAGGGGTCCACTCACAGTACTTGGTTGCCAAAAGTTGCGCCACTAGTGAAGACGGAAACGTCACAATAATTGTCCCTAAGCACACATAAAGAGTCCAATAAATAAAAATATATAATAGTAATTGAATTTGGGAAAACAGACATTGAAAACAGATTCAAAACGTCGAATTACCCTAAGAAGGGTCCCGGACGAAAACCCAAAAAGTCAACCCTAAAGTCAACGTTGACCGGGGGTCAACGGTCAAATTAGGTCTAACGAGTTTTAGGCTTGAATCCGGATTAGGGTTTAGGTTTAGGGTCCTAAGGTTTTTGGTTAAAAAGGGTTAGGGTGAAAAGGGGTGGTTTAGGCTTAAACCCAAACTCACACACACACACCCACGGCACACAACACACACACACACGTACACCACACACTCACACAACACACTCACGCAGCGCACACACACACACACACACTCACCGCCCAAAGGCCTTACAACCAAAGGGGTTGGGCTTGGCAGGGAAGGCCCAAAGGGCTTGGGTTTTGGTGGGTCGCCGGACCCAATGGGAGAGAAAGCCGGAAATCGGCCGGAAAATGCACAACATTTAAACGGCCATAACTTTGTGAAAACTCAACGAAATCAAGGGAGACAAAAATGAAAGTTGTAGCCCTCGCAGAGATGAAGAGAATGTTACCTCACACGACATCTAACTCGTCGTGGTTTGTCCGGAAAATACCTCGAAATCCTCGAAGGTCGCTAGACATTGGTAAGATTCAACTGAGTATAACTTCTTCAATACTCAACGAAATTGAGTGAAATAAAAAGGAAAGTTATACTAATCGACGAGGCGAAGAGATTGATACCTTGCAGGTTGGCCAACTCACCGTGGTTTGACCGGAAATGGCCTCGAAAGGGGCGGTCTGAGTTGGAGCTGTCCGGGTTTTTACTGTCCTCGCAGCAACTGAGAGAGAGAGAGAGAGAACGAACTGATGATGATGATGATGACGCCGTTGACGTCGGAGAGGGTGGTGTGGTGATGGGTATGTGTTCATGGGAGGACGAGAAGGAGAGAGACGAGGGAAAGAGAGCTCGGGTGAGAAAAAGAGAGAGAACTGAGAGAGGAGAGAGGGAGACCGGAAAACAAAAAAAAGATAAAACAAGGTGGGTCCCACTGGCTCACCAATTAAGGCTTTAAAAAAATTTTTAAATAAAAATGGGGTTGGGGTGTTTCAATGATTGTGCTACTGTCACCTATTTTATTAATAGGATGCATACTCCTACCTTGAAAATGCAGTCTCCTTTTGAAGCCTTATAACATTCACCACCTAGGCTAGATCACTTAAAGATCTTTGGATGTGCATGCTACCCCTCTATGCAACCATATAAAACAAATAAGCTGGAACCTAAGACCACCAAGTGCATTTTCTTGGGATATGCAGCTCAATATAAGAGATATATTTATTATTCTGTCAAAAATAACAAATTAATTGTGTCTAGGCATGTCTTGTTTGATGAAACACACTTTCCTACACCACACACCATCACTAATCATGTGTTTACATCTTCAGTTCCTTCATCTTCGATTTCTACTTCTGTTCATCCAAATACCTTTGTGTATACTCCATCTATACCTATACCATTGCCACATGTCTTTGTACCACCTTCATCTTCTTCAAATCCTCATGTTACTTAGTCATTACCTCTCCATCATGGTGATCTTGCCTCCACTGCCTCCACAAGCTCTGAGACAGCAACAACACCAGATTCTGAGACTACTGTGCCACAACATTTTGAGCTTCATCCAGACACCACTACATCTTAAGTTTCAACATTACAACTTGTGTCACTTCCTCCACATACCTTACTGTTAATGTATACTGAAATCCTGATCTGCAGTGAATACTCAAACAAGAAAAGAAGAAGAAAGAAGAGTTCTAGAGAGAGAATGAATGTTTAGAGAAAGAAACTTTTGTATTGATCTGAATTGAAGATTACAGTAATCCAATATCATCTTATATAGTTTGCACGATTTACATCAGTAACTATATCAGTTAGTTATAACACCTCTAACCAACATAACCACCAATAGTCTATTAGCTAAGCTGATGTGGCATTGCCAGCTGTTACTACTGTCAACATCCCCCCTCAATCTAAACTTGGGGTGCCAAGCTTCAGATTGTAGCAATGTCTGATAAATGCAGGACTGTGAAGACCCTTTGTTAGAACATCGGCAGTTTGCTCATCAGTAGGAACATAGGCTACGGCAAGATCGCCTTTTTGTACCCTCTCCCTTACAAAATGATAATCGGTATCCAAGTGTTTGATTCTGGAGTGAAACACTGGATTCGAACTTAATGCAATAGCTGACATGTTATCACAATTAATAACAGGTGGTTGAAGTAAAACACACTTCAAATCCCTCAAAATGTGTCTAACCCAAGCTAGATCGGCAGCGGTATGGGCAAGGGCTTTGTATTCAGCTTCTGTAGAACTTCTGGATACTGAAGTTTGTTTCTTTGATTGCCACGAAATAGGATTATCTCCAAGAAAAACAATATATCCAGTTACTGATCTTCTGGTATTAAGATCCGCAGCCCAATCAGAATCAGAGAAAGCCGTGAGATGTATCTGTGAGTGTGAAGAATAGACTATGCCATGTTGCATCGTACCATGAAGGTATCGAAGAATCCGTTTTACAGCACCAAAATGAACTTCAGTTGGTGAATGCATGTGTTGACAAACTGTATTCACAGCAAACGCAATATCCGGTCTAGTAAACGTAAGATACTGCAAAGAACCAACAATGCTTCTGTATGAACTAGGATCTGAAAGTAACTCTCCTTCTGTCACATCATTTGATTATGTGGTTTACATGGTGTATTAGCAAGCTTGCAAGAATCCATACTTGCCTTATGAAGTAAATCCTTTATGTATTTCGACTGATTTACAAAAATATCTCCATTTGGTTTATATTGAATCTGTAAACCAAGGAAATATGTCAACTTCCCCAAATCCTTCAAGTCAAACACAGAAGAGAGTTCTTGAACTACGAGTTGTACTTTAGTCACACATGATCCAGTCAATATTATATCATCAACATAGAGCAATAGTATGATGATATCATTGTTATCATTTTTGATGAACAAACTGGTATCAGATACTGATGCAGTAAACCCCATTGTCACCAAGTAGCTTGTAAATTTTGAATTCCAAGCCCTTGGGGCTTGTTTGAGTCCATATAGTGACTTGAGGAGTTTGCATACATAATCGGGATGACTTGAATCAACAAACCCTTGTGGATGTTTCATATAAACTTCTTCTTGTAGCTCACCATGCAGAAATGGATTTTTGACATCAAGTTGTTTCAATTCAC